GCAGCAGCTGATCAGCGATGTGGGCTGGCAATTATCTTTGCGAGAGTTTGCTATGCTGGCGCGCTGTGGGTGGACATTTCCCAAACAGATCGGCGAAAGTTGGCGTTGCCAATCCACCAAGGGAAAGGGAACTGCTGCAATGCTGGCGGTTCTCGCTGTCACCTCCAAGTCAGCGAATACAGGGTAACACACACTCGCCACCCGTGACCGACTTTCTGAAACTGGGGTATACGGTACGGTCAGATCAACATAATGCTAGGTTAGACAGATACTCTAGGTGTTTTTGTTCCATCATTGTCGGACACATTCCGCCTCGCCTTGTTACCTCCTAACTGGAATTTCAACACCAGTCCATCCAATCCCCAGGTGATTCAAGTCTGTCAGCCATAGCTGGTCAGCACAAAGCACCGTCCTACGAGGAACCGAGGTGAAGTCCAGACTTTTCCGTCACACGCAGCGAAGTCACCCGAGCAGAAACAGGCCACGGGTTTCCTCCTTCGCGAGTATCGGCGCGCGTCGCGAAGCGTAGATGAGCCGCTGGACATAGGAACGAATAGTGAGCTGTCCTTTGAGTCCTCTCAGATGACACCTGGCGAAGCCAGAGCAGAGACGGATAAAGCGGTCTCGCGCTGACTTGTCGGTTACGGTTACCACTACACCCGCTCGGTAGGACCTCTTTCACCATGGACTCACGAGACATACCAACTAGACGAGCCGAGTTGGAGTCGAGACGCGGCCTTACCTCCAATTCGGCAAACCCTAAGTCGATGGCACATGCTCTTGCTGAGTTCAAGCTGGATATCTCCTTGCTCGACTCGACTGAAAAGAGTCAAAGACTTGCGTACCCTTGCATCTTCGGATCAGATTCCTTTAGTTCGTTCTTCTCAGAACCCTCGCCTATTGTCGGACCGTCTGAGAGATCCCTTGGGGACTCCCGTATTTTCCACCTTCCTCGAAGCGTTTGTGCTTCGTCGGATTGATCCGACGGTGGAAATAAGGCATACCAACCGTGCCTCCGCTCGCACCTTAGTAAGGTCGGATGCGAACTTCTTCGGGCTAGTAGGGCGTACCGTAGTGCCTTCGGTGCAGCCTCGGTAGTAGCCTCGGTTAGCAGCAGGCTCGGTAGCAGGCTCGGTAGTAACAGGCTCGGAGGTGCAGCCTTGGTACGAATACTGTGCTGTCACCTAACAGACACTTCAGCGTCTGAAATTGGCGTTAGGGTGATAGCATATACGCACGAGGCAAGAGTGACGCTCACGTGTCTTCGCGGCGTATCCACCACGTGCCTTTTCAGAAATAGCATGCGAACAAGCACATCGCGCTCGCTTTGCTTATTAATCCGTTCCTCGGCTTTTTGTCTGCAAGGACGTTCTCGCGCTGCCAGCACCAACACGTCGTTTTGCTTCTCAGAAGGAGGCCCTCACATTCTCTTTACTATAACACGGTCTGCTCTCCCGCAACCTCCTCACCCTCCTCTTGCATCCACTCCGTTTTGGTTGTGAAAACGCGGCGAACCTACGGAGGACGATTTTAAAAGCACGAAATTTCCTACAGAAAAACGTTTCGCAGGTTCTGAATCCTGAACTTGCTGTCTTGGATTCCACTGTAAGGTCGTACCCGTTATCCCCACCTTCCACGCATCCTCACACACTCATCCCAACCGTGCTGCTAACCTGCTTCTTCAAGTCTCAAGTCCCAAGCATCAAGATTCAAGGCTCAGGCTTCAACCTTCAAGCCTCAAACCCCAAGCTTCAAATCTCAAGTCTGAAGCTTGCAGCCTTCTGTGGTATCACGCAGATATTCTCAATTCGCGTCAGGAGAAAATGAGCCGACTTGTCCAGGAGATTTCTCAGGTGGTTTGTGCTGAGGACCTGCCGCTCTCAGTCCCAGTCTCACGGTCCACTAAGCAGATTTGTGATCCTGCCACGTGGGAAAGTTCCAACGGTGAAGATGATTCGCCGCTCGCAGGTGCTGCAGTGAGCTGCTGCCGCTCGTTTCTACCCACTGCACTTGCTACTGCTTCTGCCACTACTGGTGGTGGTGCCTCTGCTGGGGCCGTTTTTTATGCTGCTGCTGGTGCTTGTGCTGCCAATGCTGTTTGTGCTGCTGCTGTTGCTGCCAACTCCACATACACGAACTCTCAATGTGATGGCTTGGGGAGCGGCAGTAGAAGCAGTGGCAGCGGCAGCAGCAGCACCAGTGGCAGCATTGGCATCAGCACCTCAGGCAGCAGCAGTGTTAGCAGCAGCAGCAGCAGCAGCAGCAGCAGCAGGAGCAGTCGTTTTGGTCGGCGGCTATCAATTCTAACTTCTGGTCGCGCAGGTGGCTTCGTCTCTCGATTACTCTCCCCACGTAACTTCTCCCCCCCTCAGCTCTTTCCCTCCGCGTCTCAAAAATCACAATTCTCCCCAACAACTCCTCAAGATTCACCGCCCGTTTCAGCAGAGTCCCAAGAGCCAGAGCCATTCTCACCAGCCACAATCATCCTACTCCTCCCGGACGGTGGGGCCCACATTCTCACCGAACCAGTCACTGCGGGAGCACTACTGCAGGGGTTTCCCCCTGGCACAGCCCTCCTTTCAGTCACATCGTGTTGTGGCACACTTCAACCTGAGGAGGTGCTGCGACTGGGAAGCACGTACCATGTGGTGTGCCCCAGTGGTAACTACCACGTGCAGCGTGTGCCGCGTCCTTGTACCGCCTCCAACCGCACCACGTCCCACTGCACTCCATCCCACCGTACCGCATCCCATCATACCGCATCCCACTGTACTGCATCCGCCTGCAGCAGTCTCCAGGAAAGGACGGATCAGACCACCAGCAGGGATGCAAGCCGCCCTGACGGTGCTTTTGGCAAGTCCATATCGCTGCCAAGAGAAGTGCTGGAAGCAACAGAGGTGAATCTCTGGAGGGAAGAGGGGCAGCAGCTGAGGCACGGCTGTCCTTCTTCCCCCCTGCTAGCAGAGGGTGGTGATGATGATGGCGATGGCGATGGCGATGCTGCTGCTGCTTCTTCCGATGGTGGTGATGATTTTGATGCCAAGCAACAGGGGTTTGACCTCCCATGGGGAATGAGTGGAGATTGCTGCAGCACCGGACCTAGTGGACTGGTTCTTGAGAGATTTCAAAATTCTCTAGAGTGTCTTGCAAGGTCTGGTGGAGCGGATTGCTGGACTGCAGAGGACATGTCAACAGAGGAAGACGATGAAGAGGAGGACGAGGAGGAGAAGGGAGTGGCAGCAAAGGCTCCAGCATGGGGAGCAGAGGCATGGGGTGCTGACAGCAGTGTGACAAGAAACAGCAGCAGCAGCAGCGGCGGCGCTGGTGGTCGGGCCAGCTGTGCTCTGATTGGCCACGTGTCATCAGCAGCTGAAGCTGCTGACGTGGCAGCTGGGGCAGCAGCGAGAGTGCGAGCCATGGCCCTGCAGGCTGCAAACGAACTGGTTGAGAGTTACCGCTTTCCAGGAAGCTTCGCCGCTCTTTCCCGACCCCCCACTGCTCCTTGTGCGCTCCTGGGATCTGGCAATGCACGTGGGAATAGGCTTGGCGATTTACCTGCCGGCCTAGCATATGAACCACAAGGTAGCTTCCGGTTTTTAGAAGTTTCAGCAACCCAAGCTGTGTCATCAAGAATGGCTTTTCGATCCGAATTAGGATTTGAAGAATGCCAGTTTTACCCTCGTGAGAGTTCTCGTGGCACACCTCTTGTGTCGAAGGGGAATGTGTGTAGCATGGAAGGGAATGGCACACCCTGCCAGGTCAAGCTTGGGCGTGGAAGCCTCAACTCACGGCAATATTGCGTCGAGGAGAATGAGCCTTGGAGCAACCGGTGTGATGGCGTGAATCCCAACGCTGGGTGGAGCCAGGAGGAACGATACGACCACGGAAGCAATATAGAACACACACTTTTACAATCTGGTAATGTTGGTGCAAGGGTTAATCTTTCAACCTCCGGAGGACCGTGTGATGTATTGGGGAGAGCAGTAGTGAGGCGGTCTGCTGCGTGCCTGTCGCTGTCACCGGTGAATCCTCCCACTCCTAGATCTCCGTCTAGCCCGCTCTCCCCAAGCTGCTCTGCGTCGGAGATTGAGGAAGTGGGTTTTTCACCTGTTCCAACTCCACGACTTCCGTCTAGGCTTGGAATAAAGAATGTAAGCAGTGATGCCTCATGAAATATCAATGTTGTTGTAAGTGTATTAGCTAGTTCCCGTGGCAAGTGTACTCAGTTTCATAAGATCTTCACCGTATAGAGTACGCCTTAGATCTTCAGTGGATGACGTCAGCCTGGGAGGCTCGTGGAAAGCGTAACGAATCCTGCCATGATGTGTACAGACGGAGGCGCGTCATAGGAGCTCCTTTTCTGACCATACGAACCGTTTTGGACCGTAATCAACTGATTGAACTCCAACTCAACACCTTCAACATCCGTGTAGTAGATTTAGGGAGGACGGTGGGCATGGATGCTTCGAGGCGGGGTGGGCATGCACAGAAGCCATAGACGCCAGCCGTGCACAGAAGCCATAGTCGCAAGTGTTAGACGATGACGTGGTTCGGGAAGGCCGACGGTACTTGCGATTGCGAACCGTAGGCGTAGAGTAGCTCGTTTTCTTTTCTTTGCGTGCGTGCCAAGAGAACGATCGTCGACGCCCGAGACGAAAATTCGGGATATGCATAACTCTCGAGTCCGAGTGACGTAGCGCCTTGAAGCTGCCAGCCGAGACAAGGTGCTAGCCAATTGCTGCTCTGTCTCTCATCCACCACTCGTCGAGAAAGCTAACGGAGGAGAGTTTCGAGATTTCTTATCAAAGCGCAGTCCAGTTAGACGTCTAACGTATTTCGACTAAAAACAACATTTACGAGATTCGGCCGAGCTCATAAACACAGCGTGGTGCTCCACTGATAATATTACTGTTGCTAGTAACAGGTCCAGACGGTTTTTTAGGCATCTCAATAACCCTTCACGGGTAATTCTGATAGTAGTAATAGGAGTAGACGCACCAATGGGGATCGTCCTGGGTCGGGTGAACGTGGAGACGCCGCAATTCGCGGTGGAGGCGAAGATGGATACCTTTGAGATTCGCCGATACCCTCCGCAGATGGTGGCGCAAGTGACGTACGACGGCGACCACCAGGTACGGTGCATTAAGGTGCATCACGGTACATCATGGTGCCTCATGGTGCATCACGGTGCCATTTAACCCTGTTGAACCCTGCTGCGAAGACGGTGACCACCAGGTACGGTACAGTACGGTGCTTTCTGGTGCATCCCGGTGCATCATGGTTGATCACGGTGCATCACGGTGCGTGCCTTTCAACTCCTTTTAACCGCATGCGTTTGCACAACAGCATCAACACAGCTTTTTTTCCTCGCTAGCAGGGTACATAGGCTCCCTCTCGGCTCCTCTCAGCTCTTCTCTCCAGGCCTCACAACTCAACCTCCTATGATTTCGAGGTGACTTTTGAGTCGACTCAAAAGTCACCTCTCAGCTCTTCTCTCTAGTCCTCACAACTCAACCTCTTATGTATTCCTCAGAACGGTATCAACACAGCCTTCTCCGCAGGTTACATAATTGTTCTCTTTGATCCTCTCCGCCCAGCCCAACTCCTGCAAACCCCTCTCAACCTTGTTTTCCCTCAGAACGGCATCAACACAACCTTCTCCGCGCTAGCAGGGTACATAGGCGCGCTCTCTGCTCCTCTCCACTTGTCTCAACTCCTGTCAACCCCTCTCTACCCATTCCTTTTTCCCAGAATGGCATCAACACAGCCTTTTCCGCGCTAGCAGGGTACATAGGCGCGCTGTCTGCTGCTCTCTACTCATCCCAGCACCTGTAAATCCCTCTGTACCCCTGCGTTTCCCTCAGAACGGCATCAACACAGCTTTTTCCGCGCTAGCAGGGTACATAGGCGCGCTCTCCGCCCCTCAGAACCGACCTGCACCTGCCCATTCGGACAGCCCGGGGGAGGGGGGTGAGAAAATTGCCATGACTGCTCCCGTGCTGACACACGTTGGAGGAGGAAAAGGAGGAGGAGATGGAGGAGGAGATGGAGGAGGAGGAGGGGATGGGGGAGAGAAGAGCACTACTGGTGGTGAGAAGATTGCCATGACTGCTCCGGTGCTCACACATGTTGCAGAAGGAGAAGGGGGAGATGTGGGAAGAGGAGGGGAAGGAGGAGGAGATGAGGCAGGGAAAGACATTGCTGGGGGTGAAAAGATCGCCATGACTGCTCCTGTGGTGACAGGTACGGAAGAAAGAAGTGGCAGTTTCGCCAGTGCATGCATGCATATCTGCCATCAGTCATGCACTTCCACAGAGACTCAAAAGTCACCTAGTCCTCTTTCCTCCTACCCAAACCTCCCCTCGACTCTCCCGTCCTCCCTCCCCACCCGTCCTCCCTCCCCACCCGTCCTCCCTCCCCACCCGTCCTCCCTCCCTACCCGTCCTCCCTCCCCACCCTTCCGCTTCCACAGCCCCAACAACAGCACCAGGCAAGACCACGATGCAGTTCCTCCTGCCAGCATCCCTCACACCAGCCACCACACCGATACCCACCAACCCGGCAGTCACCATTCATCAGCTGCCGCCCCGCCTCCTGGGTGCCGTCACTTTCTCGGGCCTCACAACGCAATCTGTGCTTCAGCACAAGTCACAGGAGCTGCGTTCTGCGTTAGAAGCAGCTGGTTATAAGGCTTCTGGGGATTATGTGGTTGGGCGATACAATCCGCCGTTTACCCTGCCATTAATGAGGACAAACGAGATCTTGTACCCCGTAGAAGGGTAATGCTGTACTGGTGTAGCGGGGTCCCTACTGTACATATCATTTTCCTTTTTGTCCACCTACCAGTAGACTCTCTATGTTGGAGCAACTAGTAATGAAGAAAGCTTGTTGGTTAAATCGTCAGTCACATGTTTATGAACCACTTTCTTCCCGAACCTCTTCTACCGGGTACAGAATCTCGTTCGTGCGGAACCACGGAATCGTAAACGGGTCATTGTAACGTGCGAGCACATATTCGCCCGCAATACCGTACCCTGCTTTCTCCAGCGCACTCCTCAACTCCTGCGACTTGTGCTCCAGCACAGCATTCGTTGTGAGGCCCGAGAAAGTAAGCGCACCAATCAGACGCGTAGGAACCTGTCGCACGCGCACGTCTGGATTGGTGGGAATGGGGGTGTTTTCCGGCGTGAACGATGCAGGCAGGAGAAACTGCATCGTCGTTTTGCTCGCCGCCGTCGTCGATTCGCCAGCGCCCGTTTCTCCTGCGACGGGTGTTACCACTTCTGTTACCACAGGAGCAGTCATGGCGATTTTCTGTGGTTCACCGCTCCCACCACCCTCACCACCCTCCCCACCGCCACCATCAGCGCCAGCAGCAGGAACACCAGGTTCAGAAGCTGGAGCAGCTTCAGCAGCAGCAGAACTGGAACCTGCAACATCCCCATCTGCGCCGGCAATGCTAGTTTCTGTGATAACAGGAGCAGTCATGGCTATTTTCTGCCGCTCCTCCCCTCCTGCTCCCTCCCCTGAAGAAGGTTTTCTGTTCTCCGCTGGACCCAGCACTCCGAGGTAGCCCGCCAGGGCGAAGAACCCGCTTCTGGAGCCAACACGCTGGCCAGGGAGGGATAGTGGAAGGGGGGTAAGGGAGGGATGACCAGATACAGTTAGAGGAGCAGCTTAACTGTCATGTACTGGACCAAGCACCCCGATTTAACCTTCCAGGGCAAAGAAGCCGCTTCTGGAACAAACACGCTGTGCAGGGAGTGGGGGTGGGTGTGAGAGGTGGAAGGAAAGGAAGGGATGGGAGGGAGGCAAGGGATGACAGGGACGGAAAACCAGAAGCAGTTGAAAGAGCAGCTTGAATTTCATCTACAAGACCCAGCACCCCGATGTAGCCCGCCAGGGCGAAGAAACCGCTTCTGGAGCCAAGATGCTGCGCAAGGAGGAGGAGTGGAAGGGGGGTAAGGGAAGGATGACCAGATACAGTTAAGGGAGCAGCTTAACTGTCATGTACAAGACCCAGCACCCCGGTGTAGCCCGCCAGGCCGAAAAAGCCGCTTCTGGAGCCAACACGATGGCCAGGGAGGAAGAAAAGGAGTGAGCAAGAAAGGGAAGGGATGATAGGGGGGAAAGGGATGATAGGGAGGGAAGGAATTACGGGGAGGGAAAAGAAGAATCAGTTAAAGGAACAACTTCATTTTCATCTACAAAACCCAGCATCCGATTGTCAACTGCCAGGGCGAAGAAACCGCTTCTGGAGCCGACACGCAGGGCCGGGAGGGGGACTGGGAGGGGTGCAAGGGAAGCATGGTAGGATGGGGAGGGAAAACACGAATCAAATTGGAAAAGCTCCTTCTACCTTCAGCTACTAAGCCCTTGTTTGAGGCGCCCCTAATATAGAAGGAGCACATGAGACACTTAACCTGCCACGATGTTAGTGTTGGTTCGCCCAACCACGGAACCTACGGCGAAATGCAGAATGACGGCGGAATGGAGCGCGTGGGAGATTCTAGAGTGATTTCGGTGGAAATCGGCCTACGGTGGACATTGGAAGCTAAGACGTGGGAAGCGAGAGAGAAATCGGGAAGAAACCAGAGAAATGGAGGAAGAAGAGTGGAGAAGTATCGAGAAGGGAGTTTGCGAGAGGAAATTGTGGTTCGAGCTTGAGGCGTGTTCGAGAAGGTGCTGGATTCGGACTCAAGGAGTGTTCACCGAATTCGGTTCGGTTGCGTGTGCGACTCGGGGTGAAACGAGGCGCGCGCGCGGTTACTTGGGAAACAAGCTAAGTTACGAATCGCATTTTGTGTCTTGCCTGACTATAAACCTGTTTGTACTCATTCTGGAATTTACAACATTGAGATTCTGAAAATTGCTGAAGTGTGTATTGACAACTTCAAGCAAAGCTGTGCATATTATTGGATTCGTGAGATCGTGGAGAACACGATTAGCAATAGCAAGTAGACTATTGCCGACTAAGGCGTTTACGGGCCTGAGACACGACACTTGCCTACGGCAGAATAGCGTGAGAGGATACTACAGTACGACGACACCAGTAACACCAGTACGAAAAAGAAAACGGAAAAAAAGGGTCGATTGTTAGGAGTTTGTCGGAGGACAGGAACCATCGAAAGGACGGTTTCCCGCGAACCAGTTACCTGGAAACGGTGCACGGAATCCACCCACCTGGAAGTGGTCGCCGTCGTAAGTCACCTCCGCCGCCATCTGCGGCGGGTATCGCCGAATCTCAAACGCATCGGTCTTCTCCTCCACCGTGAATCGCGGAGTCTCGACCTCGATGCGACCCAGCACGGACCCCATGAAGCCTCGATGTAAAGCGCCTTGGCGCGCTGCGACTCGGCACGCTGCGGCTCGGCGCGCAGCTGCCGTGACGACCGCCAGCCGCGCAAATTCAATCAGAAGACCTAACTGGCGAAGCGGCAATCACGGAAGAATCAAACTTCGTGGAAGCAGCGAGCCAAAATCTGGGATCGCAGATGTCAGAGAGAGCAGACGCATGCAGCGAACAGTCCTAAAGTAGGAGAGCCAGAGCTGATTGGTGGTGTAAGAAAAGCCGTAATCAAAGATAGGGAAATCGCTGATGCCGTGTGTGGTGTGGAATGTCTGAAGCAAGCTGACAGGAGAGGTTGCCCTCGCGAAAACTAAGTTTCTAACGAAAGGATTTCGGAAGTTACTGGTGAAAATGCAGCGTTCGCAATACGGATACCACATGAGGGCAAAAATTTCAGGACTAGCAGTGCGAAGAAGCTAGTGAGCAGCTCCCTGAAAAAGGCTGCTCTACAGCTCAATTTGTTACCCAATAGTTGAATATGTTGAACCTGCTTACACTGGCAGAGGATTGAATCTAGAGTGAAATTTTCTAGTCAACTGCAGTGCTCTCTCCTTTTCAACCTGAAACACTATGGAGGCAATTATTTGGTCACCTCTTGGCCCAATCCCCGTCCATTTACCAACAGCAGAGCCCCCTGCCACCTCCACCAGATGCCCCTCCCCTTCACCTCCCCAAATAAAACACCCGGATCGGCAATATCAGACCAATCTCAGGGAGCTCTCATTTCCCATTTCCCTGGCAGGCACGATGTGGTTGATTTGAGATCCCATTTTCCTGTCGAGGTCCAGAAGCTATTTGTTGCCAAAACCCTCTGTTTCATGACCAATCCCTCGATAACAGGACCCCTCTCTGTCCCAAGTCCCCCCTCTCTGTCCCAACTCCCCTCTCTCTGTCCTAAGTCCCCCCTCTCTGTCCCAATTCCCCTATCTGTGTCACAACCCCTCTCTCTATTCCACGACCCCACCCCTCCTAACGGTGGCGAGTTTCCTTAGCACCACCACCACCAGCACCAGCACCACCACCACAACCATCTCTCCCACTAGTAATACCACCACCGGCACCACTGCTGTTCCACGAACCTCCCTCTGTTCCAGACCCCTCTCTCTATTCCACGACTTTTGAGTCGACTAAAAAATCGACTTATCACACACAGACCGCTCTCTCTATTCCACGACCCCACCTGTCCTAACGGTGGCGAGTTTCCTTAGCGCCACCACCATCTCTCCCACCACCACCACCGCCACCACTGCTGCTACCACGATTACGATCCCCCGTGGTGCCACCCCCACCACCGCCACCACCGCCACCACTGCCACCACCACCACTGCCCTTGCCACTCCCACGATCACGACCCCCTGTGCCACCACCCCCACCGCCACCACCGCCACCGCCACCACCACCACCACCACTGCCGCCACCGTTACCACGATCCCGATCCCGCCCCCCTGTGCCGCCGCTGTTGCCCCTGTTCCTGCCCGCCCCACCCCGTTTCCCTCGGTCCGCAAACTCCTGATCCTGAGGACGCCTCCCCATTGGTGGACTCATCATCACCCCCTGCGGTTTGCCCAAAATTCCGTCTCCTCTATTTCCTTCTGCCCAGCCCGCATTTCCTCCTGGCCCGCCTTCTGCCCGAGCCATAAAACCCTCCGCCCGACCAATAATCCCATCTGCCCGACCACCATACGCACTGCCCCCACTAAAATAAACCTCAGCAGGAGGAGGAGGAGCAGGCGTGGGCGCATAAGAGGGCATATTAGAGTAACCGCCACTTACACCCCCACTGGGACCACCAGCATTACCACCACCATAGCTACTCCCGAAACCGCCGCTCCCTGTGTTACTGCTCCCCGTATACCCGCCAGACCCTGGCTCTGGTGCTCTTGCAGGGTAACCCTGGCCAGGCTGCATCGCAGGGGTGTTATCAACAACGTAAGACAAACCACCGGGTCCGACGGATACACTGCTGCTGCCCATGAATTGCTCACTGGTATTCATGAACGGCTCCGTGTTACGGTTACCAGCGTACAGCTGGCCTGGTAACCCTCCTCCTGCCGGCGCACCCCTTGGGTCGACCCTTGTGTCGATCCTCGTGTCGTAAGTGGGAGGTGGTCCGGGGGGGAGGGGAGGAGCATTTTGATTAGAAACCGGGGCAGTAGCAAGCCAAGGAGGAGTAGAGAGGGACGAGTCACCAGTAGTAGCACCACCACTGTAGGGTGCACTGCCACCATACCCCCCAGGTGCAGGGGTATTTGCAGTAGTGCCATAGGTGCCTTGCGAACGAAGTCCCTCCACTCTTCCCCCAGCAGCAGTGGCGCCATAGGAGCCGCCCACTTCACCGTACACGCGAACTGGCTCATACTGCTGCAAAACACCTGACATTTCACCTGAGATTCCCGTGTGCTGCTGCTGCGGTGGCTGCTGCTGCTGCTGCTGCTGCTGCTGGAGCTGCAGTGGCTGCTGCTGCCCCACAGGCTGCCCAGAAAGTCTTACAGCTTGCTGAGTCAACATCCCATCCTGCCCCACAACAAATATTTGCTGCCCCCCTGTCTCTGCTTGCAGCGGCATCCCCCCTTGCTGCTGCATCCCCTGTTGCCCCCCCTGCTGCAATCTCCCCCCCTGCACCCCTCCCTGCTGCATCCCCTGAATCCTCCCCTGCTGCATCCCCTGCACTCCCCCTTGCATCCCCCCTTGCTGCATCCCCCCCTGCTGCATCCCCCCCTGCTGCATCCCCGCCTGCTGCATCCCCCCCTGCTGCATCCCCCCCTGCTGCACTCCCCCTTGCATCCCCCCCTGCTGCATCCCCCCCTGCTGCATCCCCCCCTGCTCTACCCTCCCCTGCTGCACCCTGTCTTGCTGAATCCCCTGTACCCCCCCCTGCATCCCCCCCTGCTGCATTCCCCCCTGTATCCCCCCCTGCTGCATTCCCCCCTGCATCCCCCCCTGCTGCATCCCCCCGCCCTGCGGCAGAGTCACCCCATCCTGCCCCACCAGCCGGCCATCACTGGCACTCACTAGAATAAGCTGCTCGCCCCTCGCTGCCGCAGCTGCTGCTGCTGCCGCTGGGATAGCCACATACACCACGTCTCCTGCTCCTCCCCCTCCCATTGCTCCTCCACCCCCCATTCCTCCTCCAACCCCACCTCCTAAACCTCCTGCCATTCCTGCCCCCATTCCTCCCGCTTTCCCTCCCTCCATCCCTCCACCGATTCCTCCCCCAATTCCTCCTGCCATTCCTCCTGCCATTCCTCCTGCCATTCCTCCTGCCATTCCTCCGCCCATCCCGCCACTGCTCACCACTCTTCCTAATCCATCTGCACTCCCTGGTATACTTCCCCCATCCATTCCACTGTCTTGCATGCCCCTACCCATTCCACTGCCTTGCATGCCTTGCATGCCAGGACCAGAAACACCACCACCACCGTAACCACCAGAACCAGCAGCACCATACACAGCAGAACCACCACCAGCAGGAGCAGTAACAGCAGGAGCAACAGGAGCAGGAGCAGGAGGAGGAGCAACGGTGCCTAGGGTAAAGCCAGGGCCCGACACAACAGCACCCATTGCACCAGCACCAGCACCACCACCACCAGCACCAGCACCAGCACCAGCACCAGCAGTAGGAGGAGCCTGCTGAATGTTAGAGACAGCCATACCACCCTGCCCGTACACCTGACCCCCGTTACCAGCCCCCACTCCCATCCCCATACCCATCCCCATATCCATCCCCCCGCCCACTCCCACATGCCCACCCACATCCCCTGAGCTCCCAGCTGTACCCCCATAAGCTGCGCCCCCATAACCCACTCCACTATAAGCCGACCCGTTATAAGGCACACCGCCATATGGCATGTTTGAGACGGGGGCGGGAGCAGGAGCAGGAGGCAGGGGATTATAAGGAGGAACAGATTTAGGGGGGGTGGCAGAAACAGTCATCACCAGTCTGGCTTCGGGCTTTGCACCGCTGCCCTCCATATAATCACGGTCGTTTCTGCTTGGAAAATAACCTCCTCCTCCCTGCGGATCCCTAAAGGCACGGTCGTTTCTGTCGCGCCCGGCATTGTCCCGCTCGCTATTGTCACGACCTCTCTTGCTCCCTGGGCTGCCAAGTCCGTTATAATCACGCTCCCTCTTGTCACCACCACCACCACCACCACCATGATCATAACCTCTTTTACCATCCGTTCCCCACCGCTCCCGCTCCCTTTCCCTCTCCCTATTGATCTCGCTCCTCCCTCGCTCCCTCTCATCCCTGTCCCTCTCGTCCCGTCCCCGGCCTCCATCCCTCCTCTCATCCCTCTCGCCCCGCCCGAGCCTGTCTCTCAAATCACGCCTGGTAAACGAAAGGAAAGTAGAGTTCCGACACACCCCCAATTCACAGCCACCGGAGAGAACAGAAGGCAAGGGACCAAAAAGAAGAAAAAATGGGGGCAGGCAGTAGGAGGGAAATGGATGGAAGGAGGGGAAAGGGAGAAGGTTGGGGAGAGAAAGAGAGATGAGGATGGAGTAGCATGGCACAGGTTAAGTACACAAGTGGCAAGTGCTTTTGTGTAGCTAATAAAAACAATACAGCCACAAGAAACCTGAAAAAAATGGGAGGATTATAATGTCAAGCGCCGTCTCATCCCATCCCATTCCATCCCATCCCACCACACCTCAGCTCACTCCTCATCACATCCCACCCCACCACACCTCACCACTTCTCATCTCATTCCATCCCTTCACACCTCACCTGGGCGAGTGCTGTCTGGAGGTGGGCGACGAATGACGCTTGTCCCACCTGCGCTGCTTCTCATGCTGATCCGCATCTGCTACTACACATGCACAAACAAGTGAAAGCAGAATGCGGGTATTGCAAGGCAGTTCTGCTATGCTGGGAAGCATGAGAGGAATGCGGGTAAACCACTGGCTTCCCCTGCCTGCGCTGCTTCTCATTGATCCGCACCTGCTACTACACATGCACAAACAAGTGAACCCAAAGGAGTGAAACGGGAGGAATGAAACGGTAGAAGTGCGGGTATGGGCTGGGCCAAGGTTGACACTAGCGCCACCCACCTGCGCTGCCCTGCTTCTCATGCTAATACGCACCAGCTCCTGCACCAGCATGGATGAGTGGAAGCAAAGGCGTGAAATGAGGGGAGTGGAATCACAGCAACACGTGCCACTGCAACACAATCATACAAGCAGCCTCACCAGGAATATGCGGGCAGTCCTTGAGCACAAACGACCATATTCATTGCAACAAAAGCAGACTCACCAGCAATTTGCGGGCAGTCCTTGAGCACATGTCCGGATGCATTGCACCCGAAGCACTTGACTCCTCCACTTGCCGCCGCCTCAGGCATCCCAGAGGCAGATGCCCTGGGCTGCTTGTGACTCACTCACCAGAAATCTGGGGGCAGTCCTTGAGCACATGTCCGGATGCATTGCACCCAAAGCACTTGACACCACTTGCCGCCGCCTCATGCATTCCCGCAGCAGCACCAGGGATCATCCCACCAGCAGCTGAATCCAAGATCACCCCAGACCCAGATGGCACCCCGCTAGGCTTGGCCGGCATAGCAGGGCGGTTAGGGCAGTGCTTGTGCAGATGCCCGGGCTGCTTGCACCCGAAGCACACCACCTGCGAGTGGTGCTGCCTCTGCCTGTCCGGGCAATCCGTGGAGCGATGGCCCTCCTGCCCGCAGGTGAAGCAGCGCGGTGGGTTCGAGGGCTGGTTGGTCTGTGGGGGGAGAGGAGATGGATAGAAAGACGGATAGTAAGCATGTGAGCTGTGGGCGCTTGTGGCTCTGTGAGCAGTCCGTGGGGCGATGGCCCTCCTGCCCGCAGGTGAAGCAGCGCGGTGGGTTCGAGGGCTGGTTGGTCTGTGTGGGGGCAGGGAGATGGATGGAAAAGAGGGGGAGTAAGTGCAAATGAGCAGCAGAAGCATCAAAGATAACCCCAGGCCCAGATGCCCCCACGCCAGGCGTTGTTTTTGAGGCGCCTCAAAAACCACCTCAAGCAGACGCATCAAAGATAACCCCAGGCCCAGATGCCCCCACGCCAGGCGTTGTTTTTGAGGCGCCTCAAAAACCACCTCAAGCAGACGCATCAAAGATAACCCCAGGCCCAGATGCCCCCACGCCAGGCGTTGTTTTTGAGGCGCCTCAAAAACCACCTCAAGCAGACGCATCAAAGATAACCCCAGGCCCAGATGCCCCCACGCCAGGCGTTGTTTTTGAGGCGCCTCAAAAACCACCTCAAGCAGACGCATCAAAGATAACCCCAGGCCCAGATGCCCCCACGCCAGGCGTTGTTTTTGAGGCGCCTCAAAAACCACCTCAAGCAGACGCATCAAAGATAACCCCAGGCCCAGATGCCCCCACGCCAGGCGTTGTTTTTGAGGCGCCTCAAAAACCACCTCAAGCAGACGCATCAAAGATAACCCCAGGCCCAGATGCCCCCACGCCAGGCGTTGTTTTTGAGGCGCCTCAAAAACCACCTCAAGCAGACGCATCAAAGATAACCCCAGGCCCAGATGCCCCCACGCCAGGCGTTGTTTTTGAGGCGCCTCAAAAACCACCTCAAGCAGACGCATCAAAGATAACCCCAGGCCCAGATGCCCCCACGCCAGGCGTTGTTTTTGAGGCGCCTCAAAAACCACCTCAAGCAGACGCATCAAAGATAACCCCAGGCCCAGATGCCCCCACGCCAGGCGCTGTTTTTGAGGCGCCTCAAAAACCACCTCAAGCAGACGCATCAAAGATAACCCCAGGCCCAGATGGCCCCACGCCAGGCGCTGTTTTTGAGGCGCCTCAAAAACCACCTCAAGCAGACGCATCAAAGATAACCCCAGGCCCAGATGGCCGCACGCCAGGCGTTGGCGGCTGCATGGCAGGGCGGGTACATCAGCATGCGCCACACATTTATTCACATACAAATAGTGATAGTAATCACACATAAATCAACACATATTCAAATACATATAGTCATAGGAATCACGCATACATTAATCAACACATATTCAAACATGTGTAGTTATGGTAATCAAACATACAACCACACATATCCACCAATAACCCTACATGAAAAACACACTCACCTCACCTGTTTGGACATCTCCAAGACAATTCTCGTCCTGTCCACCACCATGCCATCGCAGCACTCAATGTCGGCACGTGATGAGTCTACTTTTGAGTCGACTCAGAAATAGACGAGCAGCACAACAACATGCACCACATCTCATCTCACACCCATTGACACACACGGCAACCTCTTCAAAAAACACTCACCGGTTTGTACATCTCCACAATGATCCTCGCCCCCCCCACCACCATGCCATGCCATGCCACCACATTACGTGTGTGGCTAGTAATGATTCTGGTGCCATGCCGCACAACAACAACCACCACACATGTATCCACTGTCGCACACATGCACGCGCAGCACAGTGACCCCATACAGCACAGCACTCAGCATGATCCTCGCTCCGTCCACCACCATGCCATCTCAGCATTCTATGTCGGCACTAGCAGCAAATAAACCAACAAGCATCATTCACATATGCACACAATAGCCCGGCCTAAAGCACTCACCGGTTTGGACATCTCCACAATGATCCTCGCCCCGCCCACCACCATGCCATTGCAGCGCAACTGTGCTTCCTTGGCACTAGCAGCACATTAACATGCATCACTCGCATATCCACACAATAACCCAGTCAAAAGCACTCACCGGTTTAGACATCTCCACAATGATCCTCGCTCCGTCCACCACCATGCCATCTCAGCATTCTATGTCGGCACTAGCAGCAAATAAACCAACAAGCATCATTCACATATGCACACAATAGCCCGGCCTAAAGCACTCACCGGTTTGGACATCTCCACAATGATCCTCGCCCCGCCCACCACCATGCCATTGCAGCGCAACTGTGCTTCCTTGGCACTAGCAGCACATTAACATGCATCACTCGCATATCCACACAATAACCCAGTCAAAAGCACTCACCGGTTTGGACATCTCCACAATGATTCTCGCCCCATCCACCACCATGCCATCGCAACGCTGCTGTGCTTCCTTGGCATCTTGTGCGTTGTTAAACTCCTGCCAATAGAACACACAGCAAGGTTTGGGGTATAACAACAAACCATTTGTTAGACTTGGTAGGTAGACGGTTGTCTCTTGCTTCCTAAGCACGTTGACGCAGGAATTCATGCAGCCCAAAACGCGTGTCAGCAGAACACAAAATGGGCTTTAGGGGACGAAGTGAATCGTATGGAGAAAAAAAAAATAGAAAGAAAGAGAAAAAAAAGCTTTCTGAGCATCCCGCCTTATGGATTTCATGCCACCATCCACATCCAATCGGACACAGACTGTGCCACAGAGTGTAGCGCCTCCGCCGTCCGGTGAACGTCACACGCGCGCGAGCACCTTGCATATGGCATGTCAAGTTCCCCACCACCTTGCATTAGCATGCAGGCATCTTGCGGTCCTTACCATCAAGGTTCATCGTGGAGTAGCTGCAAACCTGTAGAATTCACTTAAGCAAAAGGATCAAGACTGTAAAACTGATTCCCAGAAAATTCAAGAAAATCTCACAACCTTCAAACTCGAAAAACCCCTATTCGCAAACCGGTTTCGGCCTTCGGGACAGAACCCCTTAGGCCTTCATCTTGCGGTCCTTACCTTAGCCCTTTCTGCTTCTCATTCTGACAGACACCAACCACTCCCTTCACACATCCCCTTGCTACTCCACTCTGGTGAATGTTGACGACACTACTCTCATTGCTAATTCTGCTGCGGGGCACAGAAGCTCTGCAAAACTACATCAAATGCAAGGACTTGGTCATTGATTGTGGTCGTGGCGATCAAACCAGTCCTCCGGAAGGTATATCAGGCCTAGGAGCTGGCTCAGAATGCCGCAGGCCAAGCCAGTCAGCATTTTGAGGCGCCTTGTTGGTCGTGGCGATCACACCAGTCCTCCGAAAGGTAAATCAGGCCTAGGATCTGTTCAGGATGCCGCAGGCCAACCAACCAAGCCGGTCTGCATTTTCATCTTTGGTCGTCAGCTCATTCCACCCTCATATTTCCTACTTCCCCACTATGCCACCACGATTGTCGGCCAATCATGTACGGTAAGACGTGCCCCTCCCTACCCCACCACGCTGTACATATTCATCGACATTCTCGCCCACTTCATCAGCATTGACCACCACCATACCTCTGGGCGCAGGATTGCTGTCCAAAAGAGCGTACGCTATCTTCGTGGCAGGCAGGCACCAAGGACTTTGTCTAAGGGACCCTTACTAGGGAGGGACCCTGCAAGGGACCCTTACTAGGGAGGGACCCTGCAAGGGACGCTGATAGCTAACCAGCTCTCCTCATTGGTTTCATAAACTCTCAAAAGTCAAGGTCTTCAGACTTCAGGGTTAGGTCGAGGGCCGGTTTCATTTCAACTGACCCACATGGGCCAACCCGGGCTGGTCTGTCAACGTTGACCATGAAAGGGACGAGTTGATTGATACTGCGTTTGGACGGACGGCGACGGCGTGGCCATCATTCAAAGATACTGTGAAGTGGACAATGCAGAGTTGTCTTTCGTACGGACAATGCGGGGAAGCGAAGCGACCATGATGGTGCACGGGAGGAGACTGTGGTTCAGCTTCAAGACAGCATGAGGTGGACGGATTGGGGCTGGGCTGTGATTCCGACAAAGACGAACGTCGGTGAAGCCACCGCCCCGCCACGATGTTAGCACGAGAGGAGATTGTGGTTCGACTGCTGTGCCACCGTCCCACCGTGCTGTCGTGCCGCTGTGCTGCAGCTGTGCTGCTATGCCCCCATGCCACTGTAACTCTGTGCCACCATGCCGCTTTTGCCGGCGTGCCATGCCATCGTGCTGTGCTGCTGTGCCGTTGTGCCTTTGTGCCGCTGTGCCTCCGTGCCACTGCGCCAGTGTGCCGCCGAGCCGACAAAGAGAACCAAAGGATGAGGATGAGTCGGATCATGGTTCGGTTCGGACAAAGAGTGGCGAAACGACCATGAAGTGCGAAGAGTTGGTTCAGACGAGAGATGTCGGAGAGAACATGCGACAGACAAGTGAAGGCTGCAATTAAAAAAAGGGCTGGTGAAGAGACCATGAAGCAGACGAGAGCAATCGCTGGATTTGCGGGTGCCTAAGAGCCGCTCTGAAGTACATGAGCGGATGTGATTTGACAAGGAGTGGTAATGAGACCACGCGAAGTAGACATCCGAAGATTGTGGTTTGGGTGAAGGGGGACAAAGGGAGCCAGATTCGGGTGAAGACTGAGGTTCGGATAATTGTTTCAAAGGACATGTGAAAAGAATGTCAACTTACAACAAGAAAAATGAGCCAACGAGCAAGAGTGCATGCAAGTCTTACCAAGAATGTTAAAGCTCCTCCGCTCCATCCACCATAGCCTGAAATGCAAATGTATGGTCTCGTACACACATCGTCACTACTACAAGGATAACAGAGAAGCAATGCAAAAGTTCGTTACCACAAGGCCAAAACCAGTCCTGAGATGTCCTCTCTTCGCACCTTGACACCTGAATGAATGGCACATGGTTGATAGATACATTTTTTTTGGTCAAAGGATCACAGCGCTACGCAAGCAAGAGGCTTACCACAAAAGCATAGTCAGTCTTCATGTCGACTCTCTTCACCCTAGGTGGTGAGAGGAAGGAGGCCCGGAAAGACATACAAGACCGGCCGGTCCCGTCCACGCAGCGCCGGTGTGGTGCAGCGCAACCGCAGAGCAGCCGACAGGGCAACGTCGGTCGGAGGACGCAGCAGCAGGCAACGCCGGTGGAAGCACAAGCAGCGAGCAACGCCACCATGGTAGCAGCAGCAGGCGCCACACGAGACGAACAAGCGTCCAGAAATGCCGTCCATGCAGCCGCCCAGGTTGATGTCCATGCAGCCGCCCACACAGCCAGCCACCCATGCGGCCGCCGATGTGGTGAGAGGCGCACAAGCCAGCAGGAGACGTTTCACGAGGCAGCAGCAAAGGTGGATCGGCAGCAGAAGCAGCAGAGCCACAACAATTGTCCATGGTTGTGCGGAGGTTGGGCGGAACAGGGGAAGCGAGACGCAAGAGAGGGGGTGGAAAGGAAGGGTGGGAGAGAGAGGGAGAAGGGGGGAATGGAGAGGGGGAAGGGAAGGAAGAGGGAGGAGATGGAAAGGAGGGATGTCGAGACGAGAGCAGGGGGAGAGAGGGGAAAGGGTGGAAAAGCGGAGGAAGAGAAGAATGGAAGGAGGGAGGAGAGGCATGGGAGGAGGGGAACGCGGGGAGCAGACAAGGGAGCAAAAAGGGAAGCAGAAAAGGGAGTGGAGAAATGAAGAAGGAAAACTATAATTAGGTCCACGCACGCAGGGGAGGTGAACGGATGAACGGGCAGGTGTGTTGGGAACGGAGAAAGGATGGATTCATGGCGGGAGGGAGGGAGGAAGTATGGAAGGGAAAGGGGGGCATGTTATATGGAGGCTGGTGGGGAAACTGGGAACACAGGTGGCTGAGCTGAGGTGCCAAGGAGGCAAAGGCTCAAGCCAGCATTCAGGTTCAGCCCACTCCGGGTCAAGGTCAAGGGTTCCTGAGCCATGGAGATGATGATTGAAAACATAGGGCCCTTGGACGGATGTTGTTTGCCGTTATCAAGGGGCTCGGATCAAGGGGGCATGAGACCTGTTGAGAAGAAATGTTTTGAGCCCTAATGCCAAAAGTCGCCGCACAAACTGCAACGTCGCTTGCTTTGTAAACTCGGATTGCAGACCGGGGAGAGAGGGGAGGGGGGTTGAGAGGGTTTGGCGGGGTGGAGGGAGATACAGAGCCAACCATTCTTGCCCCAGAGCGGTGTGGGCTCAAAGGAGGAATGGCGAATGAGGAGCGCAGCTCAGTAGAAGGAATTGAAATACGCCAGCAGGCTCACGGCAAGCTCATGGACGGGGAGTTTATTCATCAGCATCAGGAGCCACAGTATGGAGGTTGGAGAGTTGACGCTGGGATTAATAGCAAAAAACTCAACGCCAGAATCTGACACGAGAAGCAGTAGAGGTCAGGGTTGGAGACCAGGATCCAGAGAGTTATGCGCCATCCAGAGAGCCGCGCAAAAACACGAAAATTTCGAGTCTTCTAGAGAAATCGAGACGGGCGTTTCAAAACGAGGACCATTGGCGCTGCTTGACGCGAGCGAAAAACACCTCGGGAGTATCGAGAAGAAGCGGTAATTTGAGGTTGGATTGACATCATCTTGGTGCGTAAGTTGGAATCGATATCCCTGGTCGCATCCGGAATATCTCGACTCATCCGGAGCGCGCGCACGCAAGGCGATTGGTCGGCGACGCCGTTGGTCCTTCGCCAACGAATCTTCTCTTTCACAGAAAACGTGTGACGCGAAATCCAAAAGGCGATCTTGAGCGGGGAACAACACCAGTAAGCCGAAGAATCTTTACCGAATGCAAGCTTACAGAAGTGCAAGCTACGAGGTGGGGGGTGGGGGAGGTGGGGGGAATTGCAAAGATAATACCATCAAGAAAATTGCAATGAAACGGTTTGAAATGGTGGAGATAAGAAAACGCACTTTCCGTATTTCGAGAAGACGTCCTCCAGATCATGCATCCCCGTACGCGTCGACAAACGGCCGACATAAAGCCGGGACGTCTCGCGAGCGCCGACCTCCATAGCTGGCAGACGGAAGAGACTCTACGCCGCGCGACGCGAGTAACAAAAAGAAAAAACGTTTTCTTTGCCTAGTGAAACCCAGGGTCTCGGCCCTACAGTCCTTCAAACCTGAAGGACTGGTAAGCTGGTGGAACTACTAAAACTAGATCCTCTTGTCGTGAATACTGCTGAACAGCATCGCCGTGATGCCAGAATGACTGAACAAGGAAACTCTTCAAGGGTTTGTGGAGTGGTGTAGAGCGGCGAGGGCCTGAAAGCGATGAACAGCGAAAAGGATGTTAACCTTTAAAGCCGGCGGCCCAAATTGTTCATGCTTTTAAAAGTTGACGAGAGGGAGTTTTTCTGGTGTGGGCTTTGGCGAGAGTTTCCGATTTCGTCTAGGTTCGTTTTTTTCGCGAGACCCAGCCAACCCTCGGTTTTCCCCCTGGTGAGTGAATCTGTCTTCGAAAGTCCCAAATTGCAAGTGCGTGACTTTCAAAAGCTTGGACACTCAACTTCGTCAAGTTTTAAAAACTTGACCCTCGCGGCCCGCAATTTGGGACGCGGGCTTTAAGGAGTTTCGCGAAACTCGGATCTACTGGTTCATTCTTTCCGGCAAGTTCGCCAGGGCTTCGGAAACTCAATCACGACTCGAGGAGGGACGAATGTTGTGCGACAACAGTTGAGGTGCATTTGTAACTGAGTCGTCAACATCGACGCGATATTGTCTGGTTACCATATCATCCTTATCCAGAGTTCACCGAAACTGCTGTTCACCACCAGCAGAGCATCTCATCCGTTGATGCGTTTGCCTCGATGGTGAGTCCTACCTGTCGATAAAGACTACCACCTTTCAAGCAGAGTCGTCCCTTAGTTCCTCCTAACTTAGTGGGATATGTTTTGTTCGTGTGGTAGAAATTAGGTCTTAGGTTTCCGGGGTCTGTACCGGGGTATAATATTGTTAGACCAGGTTTTGACATTGTTTACCTTGTCCACTCGCATCGAAACCAGCAGTAACAACCCGTTAGTTTCGCCGTTTATCCTCTTTATCCTATCATCAACAAGCGACAATGGGAAACGCGCAAGGCCGCGATAAGGGTCGCAGCAGCATGGAAGGGCGGCCGGTGCCTGAGAGTGGGCGGCGATTGGCGTCGCGCTAGGTCGGTCGCACTCCAACGACTCCATGGGGAACAGCCCGCCTGACAGCCCTAGCGGCGCAGCGAGATCTCCCCTCATGTTCACTCCACAGGTAACTCAGCATCTGCTCGGGTAGTTTGGAATATTGACTCCACGGGGAACAGACCGCCTGACAGCCCTAGTGGCGCTGCGAGGTCTCCCCTCACTCCACAGGTGCGTCAACATCCGTCAAGTTTTTTTCAGAAATATTGATTGTATGGGGAACAGCCTGCGTGACATTAGTAGAGTTGAGGATTTTAAATGCAGTCCACAGGTAGCCCGCCTGGTCTTTTCACAAAGCCCTAGTGGTGCTGTAATGTCCCGGCTAGTGCTCACTCCACAGGTTGGTCATTTAGGAACTTAAGTGGACCGTTTAGGTCACTGCCGACTGTCATTTATGTCTGAATATAGCTCTCAAATGTTGTGCTTGCGAGCTGGCCATGACTACACTCAGTCCGATTCAACCTACATGTATTTAGATGCATCCCCGGTACTGTGGATAATTCTGTTGATGCCTTTCTTTGTCACGTGCCCACCAATAATTTGTTCCCTAAATTTGCAGATTCCCATGGCTCCAATTCCCAAGGCGGATGAGCTATCTCTGGGGTCGGGCTTTGGTGGATACGGTGGTGATGGTGCGGGTGGGCCCGGGGCGGATGGGGAGCAAGGTGTGCCGACACTCATCACATGGACGCATGGAGGCAACCATGTGTCAGTGGATGGTTCATGGGACAACTGGACAACAAGGTATGTCCATGCACTTCAGGCTATTCACTCTGGCGGAAGCTGGAGGCTTGTTAATATAACTGAGCACGTCGCTGTAATCACGTTCAGCTCATAAACTGCATCAGTCATCGTGGTTAAATGTCATGGCGGGAAGGCCAACAACAACTTAGTAGAGAATACGAGATTTCACATGGTTAGCACCTGTTTTGCAATTTCCTTCTCAGGCAAGTCTTGCAGCGTGCTGGCAAGGATTTCACAATTGTGAAGATGCTGCCTCCTGGAGTGTACCAGTACAAGTTCATTGTGGACGATGTGTGGCGGTATGCTCCTGACCTTCCAGCAGTGTACGATGAAATGGGAAACGTGAACAACGTTCTGGAAGTGCAGGTAAGTTATTACTGAACCAAGTCGAGTTACGCTTTTGGTGCAGTTTCACTTGCTGACTTGTGTGGGTTCCCTGCAATCACTGTGCAGGAGTATGTGCCAGAGAACCTTGACAATGTAGCGGGATTTGAGCCGCCTCGGTCTCCTGTCTCTAGCTACAATGACCCTTTTCCTGTACCTGAAGACTTTGCCAAAGAGCCTCCTCTTCTTCCTCCTCACCTCCAGCTCACCCTGCTGAATGTTCCTGTTGCTGGTGACGCTCCCACGACGTTGCCTCGGCCACAGCATGTCATTCTGAACCACCTGTATGTGGAGAAAGGTAAAGCAGCAAGGTCCGTGCTTGCTCTTGGGCTGACGCATCGGTTTCGCTCTAAATATGTGACGCTTGTCTTGTATAAGCCACTCCATAGGTAGTGTAACACTTATGGTGCAATCTACGGTATGTACAAATGTTCTGTAACGATAACATCTGAGAAGTCGTTTAGTCTAATAAGGCCTTTAGGGCTCTGCCCTTCACCTTCACTGGTCAAACCTGTGAGGTAAGAGCCCCATTTAGGGCGTGTTCCTACGGCCCTCTTATCAGGCGAACCTCGTCAGATTAGCGTCACACCGCACTGAAACACATGTACCGTAATAATATTTGATTGCAGTGAAACGCATTGAACTGCAGAAGTCTGACAAAAGGTCGCCTGATAAGGGGCCGTAGGAACGCACCCTTATGGTCATCCTAACCCAACTCCTGCCAAGTGCGTGCCAAAGTGTGTGCCAAGTTCCAAGTGCCACAAGCTTCTCTATCCATAGTTAACAAGATTACCGTAACCATAAAATATAGCAAAATATACCGGTACCCTGAATCTCATATCTCCACAGCACTAGGACTTCTAAATCGACAAATGGTGAGGTTTTTTGTTTTTGAATTCTGTCAGCAACAAACAAGAGGAGAGGTGAGAGCCGTCAGCAAGCCAAGTACCTTAGACAAGGATATCTAATCGATACACAAGGTTGTATATGGTCAATCTTCCCAATCCGCACTGCATCTCCATTTCATGTCTATTCTAGCCAGCAAACCCTTCCCTTGCCGACTTAGCCTTCCCCTAAGAGCTGGTAGGCCCATCTGCAAGGGAACATGCACGCCACTCATCTCATCATGAACGCTTAGAAACCGTGCATCTTTATGAGGTCCTTCTTCGCAATACCAGCCTGAATGAGGAACGCCGAAACGTTCTTCCGCTGGTCGCCCTGAAGCTGAATGACCTGTAATAACAAGAGCGAAAAGTTAAAGAACCGGGAAAGGATCCAATGGAATCGTGAGGACGGGCTAAATACCAACCTGACCAAGTTCGATGTCTTGAACGACGGTTCCGTTGCAGCAGAACTCCTGAAAAAAAAAGAGAAAAAAAAGAGATCCCATCGGCTTAGCCATCGACTTACTTGAAACCACCCAATCACAATCTTCAAACAACGAAGGCTTACCTTCTTAAAATCCTTCAATATCTTGTTGTAATTGAATTCTTTGTTCAGGCCTTGAACAGTTGTCAGGCTCTTACGACCATTCCGTTGCTGAATACGGATATGGACGTAATCCTTAGTTCCGGCTCCAGGATCATCAGCAGCATTCGCGTCAGCAAACGGGTCTGCAAGCAAGTTCAGGAACGGTCAAAACAGTGTCTACAACAGAACAAAAATGGACAGACGCTAAGCCGAACGACAGCAACGACCTATGAACGTACCGAAGGCCCCAGGAACCTCGAGTTCTAGATCGGACATGAACGAAGGATGGATGATGCGCCTTTGAAGCTGAAGGGTGGTGTGTGGGCTACTGAATCTGGAGGAAGACGACGATGACAAACCCTAGCAGAAGTGCCTGGAGCTACACAAAGTGGAAATGGACTGGCGGAAGCACTGAACGTTTCAAACCTTTCTTGGCTCCGTGTGGATATATCCGAACTTGGGTTTGGTTGGATTGGATGGGAGAAGGGTTGAACGGTCACTTTCTGGAACAACTTCGCCGTGGCGGGCAGATCTCGTTTCGTGCAACCAGCGTTGCCGTAGTGGAGAAGTTTCGCCACGTCGGCGACCTTCGCGAAGCCCAACAACTCTACGGAAATTCTTATGTCGCGTCAGCATCATCACCACCGCGCCAGGCCGCAATGTGCGTCTTGTCAGTGCTACACTCAGTCATAAACGCCTACTATACACGGATTGCGCAAAACTTGCCTAAACCTGCTTATTTAGGATGTGTGACAGAACATTACCCTCTTTCAAATTTGAGCGATAACAATTTAGTGTCATTCATTCACCTAAGAGATTTATCCAAATAATAGGTATAGATGGTCTAGAAGTTGTAGACCCACAAAGAATGCCGTGTGGAATTTGTACAAAGAAAGGATCAATTGTTATCCGGTACTTGTCCAACACTCAACATGGCTGCCAAGAACAAGCATGATGGATGGATTGCAGAGGGAGGGGGAGGGGGGAAGGGGGCGGAGGGGGAGGCGAGGGTGAAGGAATGATGAGAAGGGCGGGGCTGGTACTTATGGCACGGGGTAAAGGGCGGGGAGTGATGAAAGGTGGGGGGTAGGAGTATGCAAGTCACATATCAGGTGAACGTCGGCCAGAATATGAATTATCATGGTCGAGCACAAAAGTGGTAACCTATGAAATGGAAGACATGGTGGTCTCACCTGTGGTGGACGCACTCTTCGCGGTGGCACGTGTGAGCTTGCTCCTGGGTCCGAAATTGTCAAAATACACTTTGGCAGCAATCATGAAGATTAAGAGCGCAATCTCCACGGATTGAGGGATGTAAATGACCCATAAGCCGAAATGAATGGAATAAACGAGGTAGAGAAGATGTGCGAGAGCAAAAATGAATTGCCTGCGCCTGGTGGATACAGAGCAGGGAAACACAGGCAAGGAGACGTGAGGACGAGGACGGACTTGAGCACAGAAAGTTGTTATCAGAGAGCTCGGAATATCATAATTTATGATATGTCGAAAATGGCAATATCATGTTTCGAACCCGTGTGGACCAATACCTTCGAATGACGAACGGCAAACAAGAGTGATTATGAGAAATCCTGTCGCAAAAAAGAGAGGAAATTCGCGATGACAGCATGCTCACAAGCCAAACACAATCGAAATGGTACCGGGGCTTATGACAAGAACGCATCAATGATCGCACACGCGAACTCACCAGGCGTAGCTTATATCGGTGGCTGATTTGGTCCTAAGAACCTTGTACGTCTGAGCCGCTGTCGACAGCGGAAACATGCAGCCTCCCACGAACCCTATCACCTGATACGCGTCATCAAACCCCATATCCGAACCAGACTCCTGGACTGACTTCAAATTACGCTACATCGAGGCTTCTGCAACTCACAAAGCACCTAGAAACTGGGAGCAACAAAGAACGACAGATGAACTGGTGAACGCCAAGCCATGCTAAGAGAGTAATCGACCTCAGCTCAGCTGTCCAGGTTGGACGTGAAGGGAATGTTTGGTTGTCGGTGAAATTGCTGAATGTGGCGCAGTGCGGTGAATTGAGATTGCTCACAGAAAACCACGGCCTAGTGCGGTGAGCCGCGGCGATAAACAGTAAAAAGTAAAACAGAACAGAGCCGACAATTTGAAAAACGCCGATTCCGGGGATCGAACCCGGATCTTCCGCGTGACAGGCGGAGATACTGACCGCTTTATTTACAATGTATATGTTTACAAAAGATACAGACGGATTTGAGCATCAGGAGCCTACCAAACTAGCAATGGCCCAACTGCAATCCTAGGTTGAGACCCCCAATGAGGTCTCAAGAACCAACACCAAGGTACGCAAAGTCAGCCAAGGAGGGTGGGGTGGGATCTGGTGGGGCGGAGGGTGTGTCAACACTGTAACGAATTTGTGTCCGACGGCAGATGGTTCGAGCCTGCTCACGCTGGTGCACCAAGGAAATCCTCTTGAAGTAGCTAGTCTCGAAGAGCTCTGGAATCAGGTCAGATGCACCACCCATGTCACGAAGTCGAGTCGCCCCTCGTCTGCTGCAGTCTTTGATGAAGCTGAGAAATGCCGTGCTGAAGCAACCGAAGGTTTCAAGAACGAGAGGAAGAAGCTTCACGTCTGGGCGGTTTTGTAAGGAAGATGCATACAGGGTCCGCTTCTCAGTTTCGCGAGCAGATGCAGCTGAGCCGATTACTGATGCAGTCTTGGAGTTTGGGGGACCATGCTGCGGGTCTGCAACTGAAACATCTATTGCCCACGTAGTCCCAGAGCTGATATCACGGCAGCCGATGTCTGGGCGACGTCCTGAAAGAAGGTGGGAGTCCTCCAGCTGTACGACGTAACCAAGCTCGGACGTGATGCGATGAACCTCAAGCTTGATGGCATCGTGGACCCTGGTAGGCTCGTTAGAGGATGGGCAGCGGAGGACGTGAGAGACGACTGAAGGGTCTGTGAATGCCGAGCCACAAGTGCATGTGCGGGTGGTCGTGAGGTGTGGAATGGGGAGGCCAAGACGAATAGCGGCTGCAATACACCACTCCGTAGGTGACAGCTGCATATGCGAAGAACATGGAGCCACAGTAAGCCAATCGCCAGCATGGGGCCCTTGTAGGGAGGTTAAACGGGCCAAATGTTGGGGAGAGGTTACTGTGGATCGCACGCGCTCGAGCATGACAGCCTCCAAGTGCTGTGAAAGGTAGGAATATAGCTTCTGTGGATAGCCAGCGTGAAGTGCGGGCCAGGTAGGGAAGTGATGCCGAATGGTAGGATGAAGTTTGGACATGGCTGTGGGAATGCATGGGTCAAGGCGGTCCATGGTGTCTGAAGCGATGAAGGGACGGAAAATAGGGGAGCCATGAATGGTGAAGCATGACGAGAGGAGTGAAACTGTCTGTGCCCAGCTGCACAGGTAACTGAGAGAAGCAGTTGCAGCTGAAGAACGGAGGCCGAACCCACCAAGGCGAATGGGAAGGAATGGCTGTCGGTGTGCTGTGGCAGTGTGGTCAAACGCAAGAGGCCAGTAGTCAGAGCCGATGAGGCGAACAAAGTGGTCCAGCAAGGTGTTGTCCCAGTCAGTGTAAAGCTCTTCTACCTCGGGAAATGGTGCAACTGTGCGAAGGAGGAATGAGGGACGGGCGGAAATGCAGAGAGTAAGGAGGCGAGAGGCAGTCTGTGGATCATGAAGGTCATGCAGGAGAGGCAGTGATGAAGAGAAAGAGTGCAGTTTGTCTCGAACTGTGGAGATAATGTGGGTGTCCGATCCGATAGGCACTCCTGCAACCGTGAGACCGTTAGGGGCAATGATGATGTCTGATGGAGGTGTGAGGTCCGAAGGGAGGTCCAAAGGGGCCCAGAGGGAGCATTTTGATGGTTGCACCCTCAGGCCCAGGTCATTGAGACGGGCTGTAAGCGCTGTGTAGGCAGGAAACACGTCATGCGCAGGACCGACCATGTACGTGTCGTCTGCGTAGGAGGTGATGAAAAGAGCTGGAGATTGACGCTGGATGGGGCGAATGGCTAGGTGCTGGGTGAGGGCGAACAAGAATGGCCCGCATGGGTCACCCTGTCGAACACCCGATGATGACTGCAGTGTCTCGATTAATGGGCCGCTGCGGTAATGGAGAGAAGAGGGGGAGGCATAGAAGAGGCGGAAGAAAGGGATGAGGCTGGAGAACGGGGAGTCTCGCAGGGCGTTGAACATAGCGGAACGGCTGAAGGAGTTGAAGGCGTTGGCAACATCCAATTCCAGCACAACCCACTCTGGGTGGAGGGAGAGGGCCGACTGGACTGCATGGGCCATAACCTCGATCCCTGCGGAGACGGTGACCCCAAATTGTAGGGAGGGAAGGAAGAAGTCCCGGATCTGCTGCTTGAAGTGAAGAGTAACGCAACGGGACAGCAGGCGCGGCAGTATCTCGCCGATGGCGATGGGGCGGACCCCTCCATGCGGCTTCTGGAGGGCAACAAGATTGGATGCGGTGAAGTAAGGTCGAACTGTTTGCGGGAGGTCGCCTTGCAGCCAACTCTGGAACAGGCGGAGAAGATGCGGCAGATGAGTCTGGTACGAGAGGAAGGTGTCGCGAAGATGCTCGATAAGCCACCCCGAAGGGCCAGCAGCTGTGCCTCGTGGGGCTGAACGCAAGGCCTGATGAAGAAGTGGAATGGTGAGCTGAGGCACTTCCGAAGGCGAGAAGTCGGGCAGCCAGTCTGGAAGTTCTTCGGTAGCAGGAGGGTGCTTGGCCTTAAGCGCAGTAACAGTTTCAGGGGTCTGTGGGGCAAGCTCGCCAGCTTCTAAAGCGGCAAGGGAACGCGACCAGTCCCCGCAATGCGCGAATCGTTTGGCTCGGTTCAGTCGGGCGAACGTGGCTGTGGACCGGGCGGATGAGACACTGTGCGGTCGAGACGCTGGAACGGCAGCAGCGACAGCTTCGTTGAAGAGAGAAAGCCAGTCGCCTTGAATGAAACGACGTGCAAAGGCTGCACATGCTGCTGTGGCTGATTGTGAGGCAGGAGAAATGGAAGAGCGAAGCACCAGACGGGGGAAAGCAAGGAGGAGGAAATGAGCAGCAGGATCTTGCGGGAAGATGGCAAGGCGGCGAAGTGGTATGAGTAAAGCATCCAAGACCAGCAGGCGAGCTCGCGGCGGAATCCGACGCAACAGTGTGCCTGGGGTGACAGTGGGACTGAAGAACGTCCCCCAGTCCCAGGTTACGACAGCGTCCCAAGTCTGTTGAGATATCGGTGGGGGTGCTGTAGAGGAGGAGGGAGTAGTAGTGGCACGAGGAGGAGGAGGGCGGACTGATTGCTGACGCGTTGTGTTGTTGCGGGAACAAGCAGAGAGGTGGCGAGTAAGACCACCCGAGCTGGCAAAGTTACGATTACAGGTTTTGCAGTAATATGTTGGGGTCGGGACCGAAGTGGGCAAAGGAGAAGAAGAAGAGGCTGCAGCAGGATGCGGAGCAGATGTCGAAGCAGGAGGAGGAGCAGAAGGAGGAGGTTGTGAAGTTTGCGCAGCTGCAGGTTCAGGTTGGCGAGAAGCGTGCTCTTGGGAGGAGGAGGCTAAGGTTTCTGTAAGGACTTTATGCAGTACGGTCTTCTGTTGTTCTGAAACAAAGCGTGGTGGGGCTGATGACTTAGGGTGTTGAGAAGAAGAGGCTGGGGGTTGTGGAGTATCTGATTCTGGCAATGACGAAGAACGGTGTGTCGTGGCAGAGTCAGTAGGGAGGGATGACGGACGTGGGCGTAAAGGTGGCTGTTGAATCGGTAGGGTTGCAAAAGGTGGGGATGAACGCGAGCGGTTAGGAGGACGAGAGGGGTGTGGGTCCCGGTCTTCAGGCGTCCTGTCCCGCTTACGGTTTGCCATGGTGAGGAAGTGGATTAGAAAGATTCATATGTTGTGCAGTTAGCGGTTTAACAAGTGTGTCACACGATTAGTGTTTTTCAAATTGCACTATTTGGTTATGTGCTGCCATGATCGCTGCTGCCTTCTCACCTCCCCTTCTCCAGCCACTGCCCGGGACTTCGATTGGCGCATTTCGTTGCGCCAGTAGACAGGCCCACGCGCGGGAAAGACGGGGCCGGAGGAAAGGGACTTGGTACCCCCGAGCCGGTGGTTCGGGTGCAGATTCTAGTTCTTTTTCTGTGAATAAATCCGAAGCAGAAAGCGCACGATCCATTAGAATGACAGGATCGTTAGATTCCTCTGTTCCGGCGGATTCCACGGAGAACACCGGCAGCAGCGATAAAATAGTCGTGACTCCCATAGTAGCTGAGGGGATCATTCGTCTGGACGCGGACGAAGCTTCTCGGAAGGCGGCCTTTCCGTCTCTCTCATTCGCAGACCCGCCGGCCAGGGAGCAGCGACTAGGAAGCGGTGGTTCGGGAAACGAGGCGCTCTCAATCGAGGATGTGCTTGCAGGGGTTGCTGTTTCTGTAGAATTCAGCTCGCGAAACGACCAGCAAGTGGTTACCATCCAGGTTCGTGAATTCTACCGTCTGAAAAGAAATACCGAATTCATGTCCGTTCCATCTGTTCTGTCTCATTCAGGTCTGCGTGCGTGTGTTCCTCCTCGCTGTGTGCCTGCCTTTCCTCCTGGAGCCATCACCCCCTCCCTCCCTGCCAGCTGATTCAGATTTGCCTCACAGTGCCTTTTCTTCCTTATGGATATATCAATCCTCTCCGGCAACTGTTGTAGAGGCGCCTTATTCACAATGACTACCTCGCGTCCTGAATTCATATATCATCCATTCTATGACTCATCACCCCTCCCTGTCAGCTACCGGAGGGGTCATCTTTCTATGGAACAGGGGAGGTCGGAGGGCCTCTTGAGAGGAGCAAGAAACGGGTACGTGGGGTGCTGGTGATGCTGCTGCGGCTGCTTGGTGCTGGTGCTGGTGGTATATGTGATGGCGCTGCTTCTGCTGCTGCTGCTGCTGCTGCTGTTGCTGTCGCTGCTTCAACTGCTGCTGTTGCATGTGATCGCTCTCTCGCTACTTTCGGAATGCTCTTTTCAGCTTCGTTCTCAACTCTTTATGCTGACAGGAAATCCCACGCAGTTTAATGAGTCAACTCTAGTCAAGGTTACCCCGCATGCACACACCCGCTCCCTGCAACCAGATATTTTCCTGTAACACAGATTGCTGCAGCTTCAATGACAGTCTACTGAGTCAACTCTAGCCAAGAATATTCCTTCCACCCAACCTCCCTCCTCTCCGCTTCCCTTTCCAGATCTTCACGTGGAACACGGATCGCTGGGGCTTCAATTTCAGTCTATTGAGTCAGCTCTAGTCATTTCTCAAGAGTACCCCACTGCACACCCCCTCCCACTCGGCCCCACTACCAGATCTTCACGTGGAACACGGACTGCTGGGGCTTCAACGGCAGCACCCCTTCGCTCTACATGTCCCACCCCTGGGTCTTCTCCCTGCTGCCTGACGGCCGCTGCCTCGGCTTTTTAGCCGACACCACCCGGCGCTGCGAGGTGAGCGGCGCAGTGTGTGTGTGGGTTGCTGATAGGTTTGATTGCCGCTGACGCAGGGATAATGAGGGAGCACGTGAGGGGGTATCACAATATAAGGATGGCAGTATCCTCTCACTCTTCACGTCCCACCCCTGGGTCTTCTCCCTGCTGCCTGATGGCCGCTGCCTCGGCTTTTTAGCCGACACCACCCGGCGCTGCGAGGTGAGGGGGAGCAATGGATGCAGGCGGAACTGAACTGTCACATGGACAAGAATATGATGGGAGTTTGATGCTTTTGTGGTTGGTGGACCTCTGGTTGATTCGTTTCTCTGATTTGCCTGCATGCTCTAGTGTCCGGTGTAGATTGGGTTGGGTTCACTTCACCCGATGAGAATTCACAGAAGTAATATCCTCCCCTCGTGCAGGTGGATCTAAGAGCCGCACCCACCCTCTGCTTCACCGCATCAGCTCCCTTCCCGCTCATCCTCTTCGGCCCCACCGCCTCTCCCTCGCACCTCCTGCAACTCCTCGCCAAGGCCATTGGTGAGTGGGGGTCTACCGTCTGTTCTGGCCATCAGTGAGTGGGGGTCTGTAGACTCTGTATGTTCTGTGGGGTCGAGGTTTATCGTCTAGGTGTGGCCATGGGTGTAGCCGGAGGTTGTACGGAACTTCCCGTGTTGCATCGTCTGCTCTAACCAACGCGGCTCAAATGTGCTTCTCTTTCTCCGCTGCGGCGCTGCCCCCTTTCGTCTCTGCCTAATTCCGTTCCTCTCAGGGCCCCTCCCTCTCCCTGCGCGTTGGGTGTTGGGCTACCAGCAGTGCCGCTTCAGCTATGAGTCTGCTGCCAGGGTGGAAGAGGTGAGGGGCGGTTAGAAGCGGTCAGAATAGGTTGTGTTGGGCTACCAACAGTGCCGCTTCAGCTACGAGTCTGCTGCCAGGGTGGAAGAGGTGAGGAGAGAGAGGTTAGGAGTGATGAAGAGTGTGAAAAGTGGTGGGAACGGTGAGAAAGGCGTGAAACATGACACATGGATGGATGTGGGATGGATAATGGAATAGACACCGTCCTCCTTAAATGGCCAGGACCGTTTGAGAAATTATGATTCCATGTGTGATGTGATGTGGATGATCGTTCTGCACCGCACTGCACTGCACTCCACCACACTGCTCCACCCTGCACTGCACTTCACCGCATTACACTGCATGGCATGGCATGACCACATGAATAAGTCGTCACATCTGACTTGGCTACTTCGCCCCCACTCTTTGGCCGTGTGCCTGTCCTGTGTGTGATGTCATCTGGATAGACATAGACTGCATGGATGGCGTTGAATTTTGAGGCGCCTCAAAATTCAACTGAATGCACGTGTGATGTCATCTGGATAGACATTGACTGCATGGATGGCTGTTAGTACAAAACCTCTCCCACCTTCTCTCCTTCTGGTCACACCACACCTACTCCCTTCCTTCCCTCCCTTCCCAGGTCGACAGAACCGTCAGAGGGAAAAGGATCCTGTGTGACGTCATGTGGATGGACATTGACTACATGGACGGATACAAGAGCTTCACCTTTCACCCGGTCAATTTGCCTTTACCATCCGCCCCCTTTCCCCCCGCCCACCCCTTCGGAATCTTTCACCTGGCCTGTCCTGCTCGTTCACACAGGTGGCAATGACTTTTCGAGAGAAGAAGATACGTCATGTGGATGGATATAGACTACATGGACGGCAACAAGAGCTTCACCTTGGTGACTTTTGAGTCGACTCAAAAGTCACTACGTCATGTGGATGGATATAGACTACATGGACGGCTGCAAGACCTTCACCTTGGACCCGCTCAAGTTCTTCTATACCTCCCCATCTCTGTCCATTCTTTTCATCCGCTCTCCTTTCCCCCGCTCCCCTCCCCTCCCCTTACCTTACCCACCCCCCTATCCCTAATAGGTCGCCAAAACCTTCAGGGAAAAGAAGATCCCATGTGACGTCATGTGGATGGACATAGATTACATGGACGGCTATAAGAGCTGCACCTTTGATCCAGTCACCTTCACCCCTATTGCTTTGCTATGTGCCTGTTTGTCCTGCTCGTGTACACAGGTGGCAACGACCTTTCGAGAGAAGAAGATCCCGTGTGACGTCATGTGGATGGACACAGACTACATGGACGGATACAAGAGCTTCACATTTGACCCTCTCAACCCCCCCACTTCCACTTTGGTACAGGTGGCGAAGACTTTCCGAGAAAAGAAGATCCCGTGTGATGTCATGTGGATGGACATAGACTACATGGACGGCTACAAGAGCTTCACATTTGACCCGCTCACCTACCCCGACCCGCCTGGGCTTGCACGATTTCTGAACAAGGCGGGTTTTAAGGCCATCTGGATGCTGGACCCGGGGATCAAGGAGGAGCAGGGGTACGGTCCGGTGGAGACCGGTGACGCGGCTGATGTGTGGATTCTCAACGCACAGGGCAAGCCGTTCGTGGGTGAGTGTGACTGTGGGTAAGTGTGACTGTGGGTAAGTGTGACTGTGGGGAAGTTTGCTTGCCATTCTTCCTCTTATTCGCATGTGGCACACTGCACACAGGTGACGTGTGGCCCGGCCCCTGCAAGTTACCTGCCTGTACAATACAGCGAGCGAGGGAGTGGTGGCGAGACATTGAAACAAGGGCAAGAATGCTCACAACCACGTGCTATCCCTCCCTCCCATGGGGCACTGCATTCTTCACAGGTGACGTGTGGCCCGCCCCCTGCAAGTTCTCCGACTACACGATGCAGCGAGCCAGGGAGTGGTGGGGAGATAATGAGACAAGGGCAGAATGATCGAAAACATTTTTTATTTTTTTTTCAGGACATCTCAAAATCAACTAACTCTCTTCTTTCCCCACACACAGGCGACGTGTGGCCGGGTCCCTGCAAGTTCCCCGACTACACGATGCAGCGAGCCAGGGAGTGGTGGCGCGACATGGTGGCTGGGTTTGCAAAGGGGGGGGTGGATGGGATCTGGAACGACATGAATGAACCCACTGTGTTCCGGGTGAGTTGATGGGAGCGGAATCATGAGGCATTTGGAAAATCAATCAGGGGGGTACTCACGATGCAGCGAGCAAGGGAGCGGCGGCGGGACATGGTGGCTGAGTTTGCACGGGAGGGTGTGGATGGGATATGGAACATCATGAATGAAGCGTCTGTGTTCCGGGTAATCTGGGTGTTGAGGTGACTCCAAAAGGGGGTGGATGGCATTTGGAACGATATGAATGAGCCCACTGTGTTCCGGGTGAGTGGACTGGAGTTGAGTGCATGCTGGGTGGGGATGCATCCGTCTGTCTACCTAAGTCTGTGCCAGAGTCTCTCTGTCTGTGTGGTATTCGCCTTTATTCCCCTGCCTCCTCCCCTCACATGCCAGGCGGTGAACAAGACGAGACGATGCCAGACGACAACATTCACAGAATGGACGACGACAAGCGTATGTGCTAGTAGTGGCGTAATGATTTATGCTTTCCTTTTCCCATATCTCCTCCCTCGCACACCAGGCTGTGAATAAGACGATGCCAGACGACAACATTCACAGAGGGGACGACGACATGGGCGGTACTCAGAACCACCTGCACTACCATAATGTAAGCCTACAAGGTTACGAAGTTACGGCGTTTTGAATTCATGAAGTTGTGGATTTTGCACTTCTCATTCCAGGCATCAGTTGCACTGACCCGGGCGGGGTTCATGAATCGTCCACCAGGTTCCAGGTCACACACAATCAGAGCAAACCAGAGTACCGCCTTATGGCCCAATGCCGCTGGCGGTTCATGAACCCGGGTGGTCAGCACAAGCAGAGTACCGGTGCCTTCCCAAGGCCCATGCTTGCTTCGCTACAAAGCTTGGGCTCAGGTCCTGGTCGCGGTCACACACAATTGGTCTGTTGGTGCTGACCTGGGCCCAAGGCCTGCCTCCCAGCCGCTCTCATCTCCTATCTTTTGGCCCCTTCCCTCTGTGTGTCTGTGTGTGTCCGTTTCTCGCCTGCTCCCTCCCAGGTATACGGCATGCTCATGGCTCGAGCCACCAGTGAGGGTCTTGAGAAGGCCCTCCCCGACAAGCGCCCGTTTGTGCTGACGCGGGCGGGGTTTATCGGCAGCCATTGCTATGCTGAGCTGACTCATGGCTTGGCGAGTAGCTCTGCTAGCTTACCTGCTTTCTATTTCTGCCATATCCCCTTGTTTTCACCCTTTCCCTCCCTGTGTGTGTGCGTGTACCTCCCTCCGTCCGGTGCTCCCTTCCAGGTTTACGGCATGCTCATGGCTCGAGCAACCAGCGAGGGCTTAGAAAAGGCCCTCCCGGACAAGCGCCCGTTTGTGCTGACCCGGGCGGGGTTCATTGGCAGCCAGCGCTATGCTGCCTCGTGGACGGGCGACAACCTGGCCACCTGGGAGTATCTGCACATGAGCGTACCCATGGCTCTCAACATGGTACGGCACGGTGTGGTGAGGTAGGGTGTGGTGCGGTGTCGTACGGTTGGGGACGTGGCATCGGGGTTCATTGGCAGCCAGCGCTATGCTGCGTCGTGGACGGGCGACAACCTGGCCACCTGGGAGTACCTGCGTTGCATATGAGCGTGCCCATGGCTCTCAACATGGTATGGTTGGGAGAGGGAGGGATATGTCTGTTAGCAGATGAGGAAGGAGGGCTAGCACAAACAATAGATGGATCAGGGCTCCCTACTCCCTCCTCCCAGCTCCCCCTTCCCCCCTGTCGCCATCATTTTTCACGTTGGAAGAATAGAGGCCCCCCATTGCCCGTTTCCCACGTTCACCCCCCTCTTCTGCCCCCCCATGCTCCCTGGATCCTTCCCTCGCACGCCGCCCCGTCCCCTCCACCCTCCACCCTCCCTTCCGTATCGCACGCACACACCCCAGGCTCTGAGCGGCCAGCCTCTGAACGGGCCTGACATCGGCGGGTTCGCCTTGAACGCCACACCGCAGCTGTTCGCTCGGTGGATGGGCATCAGTGCGATGCTGCCCCTCTCACCACCATGTACCATTTTTCCCTTCCCCGCTCCTCCCATCCCCCTTTCCCGCCCTCCCCTTTTCTCTCCCCTTTAGGCTCTGAGCGGCCAGATATTGGCGGGTTTGCCTTGAACGCCACTCCTCGGTTGTTCGCTCGGTGGATGGGCATTGGGGCTCTGCTGCCCTTCTCCCGTGGGCACTCGGAGAAAGGGACGAAAGATGCCGAACCATGGGTGTTTGGAGAAGCGGTGAGAGGAACAGGAGGGGGGGGATGGGAAAGGAGATGCTGGGAAATGGGTTGTGGTGGATAATTATCATATTGCATTGTATTGTAGTGCCTTGTATTGTATAGTATTGCATTGCATTCTATTGTATCGTAGATATATTGTATCGTATCGTATCGTATCGTATCGTATCGTATCGTATCGTATCGTGCAGTATCGTGTCGTGTCATGTCATATCATATCGTATCGTATCTTGTTGTATTGTATCCCATTGTGTAGTGTATTTTAATGTAGCAAAGGGTCCTAATCCTCAACACTTTCTCCCCGCACTCCCTCCATTCTCCTCTCGCATCCTCTGTCTCTCTCTCCTGCACGTCCCCACCCACCAGTGTGAGGGGGTGTGTCGGAAGGCCATAGAGCGTCGCTACCGCCTGCTGCCACACCTCTACACACTCTTCTATCATCATGACAACACCGGCAGCCCTGTCATCTCACCCCTCGCTTTCACGGGTGCGTTCATTTAGTAAACCGCTGGTTCAGTCATAAGCAGTACTGTCTGTTGCCGCACCTCTACACTCTCTTCTACCATCATGACAACACCGGCAGCCCTGTCATCTCGCCCCTCGCCTTTGCTGTTGCTGGTGCGTCCATTCAGTAGGTTTTATGAGAAAGCTGAACGGCCTGTTGTTCAATCATAAGCAGTAGTGCCTGCTGCCACACCTCTAGGCTCTACACACTCTTTACCACCACGAGAAGCCCGGCAGCCCAGACATCTCACCCCCCTGTGCCCCCCTTTCTGACCCCTCCAACCCAGCACTGCGTCCACTGGAAGACCAGTTCCTGTTGGGCCCTCTTCTCTGCTCGTTCTTCTTGTTCAGGGCTTCAATCAAGTCAAGTCAACGTGCATGTCACCTGCATGCCTCTGCCCCTCTGTGCCTCCCATCAGACCAATCCAACCCAGCACTGCGCCCACTGGAAGACTAGTTCCTGCTGAGCCCTCTGCTCATCCTAATACCGTTCCTCTTGGTTGAGGCTTCATGCAAAGAAAACATTGCTTTTGCATGCCTGTGACGTGGCCCCCTGTGCGTGCGCCCCTCGCCTCCCATCAGACCCCTCCAACCCAGCACTGCGAGCAGTGGAAGATCAATTCCTGCTGGGCCCTCTGCTCGTCATGACATTGTGAGATCCCCCCCCCTCGTGCTCCACAGGCCCCCCAGCTCCCCATCCCCTCTCCCGCAACCCCATTCTGCCGTTGAGTTGTCATTGCTTCCCAACGACGTCATTGCTTTGCTCTCTCCGCGTGATAAAAGGAAGTGTTTTGAGACGTCTCAAAACGTTGTGTTCCCCTGCTGTTGGTTGCACAAGCGGACACAGCACATTAACCATACACACTTGCCCAACTACGTCATTGTTGTTCCCCCTCCAACTCTCCCTCTCACCATTTCCCAACCGCTACGCCCACACACCACTTACACCATCGCTTGGGCCCATTCACACATCTGCACACCCTCACTTGCTCACACACTCGCTTCACCCACCCCTTTCCCCCCCTGTTCCTCACCCCCTCAGCACAGAGTGCAGCAAGTTCGCCGATCCGTCAGCAGCCAATCAGAGGCTGCCACCTGGCACGTGGAGGCGCTTCCACTTCCACGATTCTGACCGGGTAGGCCAACCAACCGCCAATCACAGATTTCCATCAGGAGCTGCTAAACAAAAAGTTGAAAGACATTTTAATATTTATTGAAACGCCTTCAGGAAGTGTAAATAGTAGAAAGATGTTTCTGCTAATCATCTCTGCCTTCTGTATTCCGACACCACTCGGCACCGCATTAACTCCCTCAGAACCTCCCGCTTCTCTTCTTGCAAGGAGGCACCATCTTACCCACGGGGCCTGTCGCCCAGAATACTCAAGAGATTCATAAGGAAGACCGATTCATAGGGAAGACCCAGTCACACTGCTAATGATCGTCTCCTTTCTTCTCTCTCTCCTTCGCTGTGGCCCCACTCCATTCCACACCACTCCACACCCTATCACCATCAGGACCTCCCGCTTCTCTTCCTGCAAGGAGGCGCTATATTGCCCACGGGGCCTGTCGCACAGAATACTCAAGAGATTCATAGGGAAGACCCGGTCACACTCCTAATCAGCCTCGACGAATCAGGTGAGAACACGTCATTCAGGATGTGAGAAAGGAGACGAGCAAGCTACTTCTCGCCGCCGAGTGCTCGCATGGGATAGTCGATTGTCGAGCTGAGAGTACAAAGGGGAGGGGAGTGTCTGCCCTCTAATGGTCTGACTGACCCACCATGAACGATTGCTGTTTCACTACATTTCCGCCCAATTTTCTTCCTTGTTTCCCTGTAGGTGCCAGTGAGGGCCGGTTGTTCGTGGATGAGGGGGATGGGTAAGTACAGGGCAGGGGAGTACCTCCCTCTGGCAAGTCCGACCTACCACCAAAGGTGGCCTTTTATCTACATTTCCACGCAATCGTCTTCCTTAACTCGTGTTCTGAGTCGACTTTTTGCTACATTCCCTTCCCACCCTCTCGCTTCGTCCGTGTTTCCCCTTGCCCCACTCCCCCAGGTCGCAGCGAGGGCCAGTTTTTCGAGGACGAGGGGGATGGGTTCGGGTACAGGGTAGGCGAGTATCTTCTGACCACTTACGTGGCGACACGTGGCACGGGAGAGGGCGGGCTGCCAGTGGTGGAAGTCAAGGTGGCAAAGGAGGAAGGTTCTTGGAAGCGGCCTCGTCGGAAGCTGGTGGCACGCATGCTCCTGGGAGATGGTGCCTATGTGAGTTTGCTTGCTTGTTTGTTCATTCATTTGCCTATTTGCCTCTTCTGGTCCCAGTCCATTTGCTTTTGAGTCGACTCAAAAGCAAATGGTGCCTATGTGCGTTTGTTCTGTTTACTTCACCCGTCTATTCGCCTCTTCTGGTTCACTTCTTTGTTGCTTGAAGCCTGTGTGCGCTGTTCGATTTTTTGTTGAAAAGCCAAGAAGTCGGATTATATTTTGACCCCGACCCAAACAAAAAAAATGCTCATGTTTCAAACTGTTACACCCCTGTCTGCCAGGTGCAAGCTGAGGGGTGGGATGGCGATGCGATCTCTGTCCCTCTGCCCACTGCTGCTGAGGCAGACAGACTGGTGGCTGCAGCAGTGGAGGAAGAGAAGGCACTTATGGGTGGGTGATGGGAGGGTGGGGGGAGGGGTGGATGAGGTGTTGGTAGAGGGTGATTGCTGTTGCACTGCCCTCTGCTGATGAGGCAGACAGGCTGGTGGCTGCAGCAGTGGAGGACGAGAAGGCACTTATGGGTGGGTGATGGGAGGGTGGGGGGAGGGGTGGATGAGGTGTTGGTAGAGGGTGATTGCTGTTGCACTGCCCTCTGCTGATGAGGCAGACAGGCTGGTGGCTGCAGCAGTGGAGGACGAGAAGGCACTTATGGGTGGGTGATGGGAGGGTGGGGGGAGGGGTGGATGAGGTGTTGGTAGAGGGTGATTGCTGTTGCACTGCCCTCTGCTGATGAGGCAGACAGGCTGGTGGCTGCAGCAGTGGAGGACGAGAAGGCTCTCATGGGTGGGTGATGTGCAAATGAGGGGTGAAACTGATGGTTGGTTGAGGGTAATCCGTAGAGGGTGGCAGCTGCACTGCAAGAAGAGAAGGCTCTCATGGGTGGGTGATGTGCAAATGAGGGGTGAAACTGATGGTTGGTTGAGGGTAATCCGTAGAGGGTGGCAGCTGCACTGCAAGAAGAGAAGGCTCTCATGGGTGGGTGATGTGCAAATGAGGGGTGAAACTGATGGTTGGTTGAGGGTAATCCGTAGAGGGTGGCAGCTGCACTGCAAGAAGAGAAGGCTCTCATGGGTGGGTGATGTGCAAATGAGGGGTGAAACTGATGGTTGGTTGAGGGTAATCCGTAGAGGGTGGCAGCTGCACTGCAAGAAGAGAAGGCTCTCATGGGTGGGTGATTGTGCAAATGAGGGGTGAAACTGATGGTTGGTTGAGGGTAATCCGTAGAGGGTGGCAGCTGCACTGCAAGAAGAGAAGGCTCTCATGGGTGGGTGATGTGCAAATGAGGGGTGAAACTGATGGTTGGTTGAGGGTAATCCGTAGAGGGTGGCAGCTGCACTGCAAGAAGAGAAGGCTCTCATGGGTGGGTGATGTGCAAATGAGGGGTGAAACTGATGGTTGGTTGAGGGTAATCCGTAGAGGGTGGCAGCTGCACTGCAAGAAGAGAAGGCTCTCATGGGTGGGTGATGTGCAAATGAGGGGTGAAACTGATGGTTGGTTGAGGGTAATCCGTAGAGGGTGGCAGCTGCACTGCAAGAAGAGAAGGCTCTCATGGGTGGGTGATGTGCAAATGAGGGGTGAAACTGATGGTTGGTTGAGGGTAATCCGTAGAGGGTGGCAGCTGCACTGCAAGAAGAGAAGGCTCTCATGGGTGGGTGATGTGCAAATGAGGGGTGAAACTGATGGTTGGTTGAGGGTAATCCGTAGAGGGTGGCAGCTGCACTGCAAGAAGAGAAGGCTCTCATGGGTGGGTGATGTGCAAATGAGGGGTGAAACTGATGGTTGGTTGAGGGTAATCCGTAGAGGGTGGCAGCTGCACTGCAAGAAGAGAAGGCTCTCATGGGTGGGTGATGTGCAAATGAGGGGTGAAACTGATGGTTGGTTGAGGGTAATCCGTAGAGGGTGGCAGCTGCACTGCAAGAAGAGAAGGCTCTCATGGGTGGGTGATGTGCAAATGAGGGGTGAAACTGATGGTTGGTTGAGGGTAATCCGTAGAGGGTGGCAGCTGCACTGCAAGAAGAGAAGGCTCTCATGGGTGGGTGATGTGCAAATGAGGGGTGAAACTGATGGTTGGTTGAGGGTAATCCGTAGAGGGTGGCAGCTGCACTGCAAGAAGAGAAGGCTCTCATGGGTGGGTGATGTGCAAATGAGGGGTGAAACTGATGGTTGGTTGAGGGTAATCCGTAGAGGGTGGCAGCTGCACTGCAAGAAGAGAAGGCTCTCATGGGTGGGTGATGTGCAAATGAGGGGTGAAACTGATGGTTGGTTGAGGGTAATCCGTAGAGGGTGGCAGCTGCACTGCAAGAAGAGAAGGCTCTCATGGGTGGGTGATGTGCAAATGAGGGGTGAAACTGATGGTTGGTTGAGGGTAATCCGTAGAGGGTGGCAGCTGCACTGCAAGAAGAGAAGGCTCTCATGGGTGGGTGATGTGCAAATGAGGGGTGAAACTGATGGTTGGTTGAGGGTAATCCGTAGAGGGTGGCAGCTGCACTGCAAGAAGAGAAGGCTCTCATGGGTGGGTGATGTGCAAATGAGGGGTGAAACTGATGGTTGGTTGAGGGTAATCCGTAGAGGGTGGCAGCTGCACTGCAAGAAGAGAAGGCTCTCATGGGTGGGTGATGTGCAAATGAGGGGTGAAACTGATGGTTGGTTGAGGGTAATCCGTAGAGGGTGGCAGCTGCACTGCAAGAAGAGAAGGCTCTCATGGGTGGGTGATGTGCAAATGAGGGGTGAAACTGATGGTTGGTTGAGGGTAATCCGTAGAGGGTGGCAGCTGCACTGCAAGAAGAGAAGGCTCTCATGGGTGGGTGATGTGCAAATGAGGGGTGAAACTGATGGTTGGTTGAGGGTAATCCGTAGAGGGTGGCAGCTGCACTGCAAGAAGAGAAGGCTCTCATGGGTGGGTGATGTGCAAATGAGGGGTGAAACTGATGGTTGGTTGAGGGTAATCCGTAGAGGGTGGCAGCTGCACTGCAAGAAGAGAAGGCTCTCATGGGTGGGTGATGTGCAAATGAGGGGTGAAACTGATGGTTGGTTGAGGGTAATCCGTAGAGGGTGGCAGCTGCACTGCAAGAAGAGAAGGCTCTCATGGGTGGGTGATGTGCAAATGAGGGGTGAAACTGATGGTTGGTTGAGGGTAATCCGTAGAGGGTGGCAGCTGCACTGCAAGAAGAGAAGGCTCTCATGGGTGGGTGATGTGCAAATGAGGGGTGAAACTGATGGTTGGTTGAGGGTAATCCGTAGAGGGTGGCAGCTGCACTGCAAGAAGAGAAGGCTCTCATGGGTGGGTGATGTGCAAATGAGGGGTGAAACTGATGGTTGGTTGAGGGTAATCCGTAGAGGGTGGCAGCTGCACTGCAAGAAGAGAAGGCTCTCATGGGTGGGTGATGTGCAAATGAGGGGTGAAACTGATGGTTGGTTGAGGGTAATCCGTAGAGGGTGGCAGCTGCACTGCAAGAAGAGAAGGCTCTCATGGGTGGGTGATGTGCAAATGAGGGGTGAAACTGATGGTTGGTTGAGGGTAATCCGTAGAGGGTGGCAGCTGCACTGCAAGAAGAGAAGGCTCTCATGGGTGGGTGATGTGCAAATGAGGGGTGAAACTGATGGTTGGTTGAGGGTAATCCGTAGAGGGTGGCAGCTGCACTGCAAGAAGAGAAGGCTCTCATGGGTGGGTGATGTGCAAATGAGGGGTGAAACTGATGGTTGGTTGAGGGTAATCCGTAGAGGGTGGCAGCTGCACTGCAAGAAGAGAAGGCTCTCATGGGTGGGTGGCAGGATGGGAGGATGGGTGATTAGGTGGTGGAGGGGTGGGTGGGTGGATGGTTGTGTAGGTGACAAGCGGGGCTCAAGGACACACGGGGTAAGTCACTGACCTCTGCTGACTGCTGCTGCTGCTACCGCCACGCCACTGCCGCCCCCCTTAGAAGGCCAGATGAAAGCAAAGAAAACAAAGATGGGTGCTGTCCCCAATGTTATCTAACCGATTCAGCTTACAGTTCTCTACTTTTCTCCTCGCGTCATTCTTCTCACTCACCTGCAGAAACAACCCCCACTGACTCACCTTTTCTCTCTTTCATTCTTCTTCCTCACTTGCAGAAGCCGCCCCCATACTGCCTGACGAGGCAGAGGAGGATGAATCCTGAGAGCACATTTCCTGATTTGTCTCAGAACACATTTCCTTTTCTACTTGATTCTTCTATCCCTTGTCAGAAGCGGCTCCTGTACTGCCAGACGGGGCGAAGGAGGATGGGGAGGAGGGAGGAGGGGAGGCGCTGGCAGCAACGAACATGGCAGCTGGCGACCTGCAGTGCCACGTGGTGCTCAAACACGGAGGGAGACTTGACTCGCTCTTCCACTACCCCTCAGGTGGGTAGTTGGGTGGTGGGGCGCACATGCAACGGATGGGGAGCAGTGAAGGGGAGTGCAGAGGGCGACCTGCAGGCTGCAGTGCCACGTGGTGCTGAAACAACACGGGGGCCGGCTGGACTCGCTCTTCCACTACCCGTCAGGTCAGATAAGCCAAAAGCCGAAAACAAACCAACACACACACGAAGAAGGCAGAAACGGGGGGCAGACTGCAGTGCCATGTGGTGCTGAAACACGGAGGGAGACCTGCTGGACTCGCTCATCCACTACCCCTCAGGTGTGCTTGGGTGGGTGGGGCGCACATGGAAGGAAAAGGGAGGAGCAATAAGTGGGGGAGGAGCGGGTGACCTGCAGTGGCACGTGGTGCTCAAACACGGGGGGGTCGACTCGACTCGCTCTTCCACTACCCCTCAGGTGGGTACAGGGTATGGCGAAAGAGAGGAGGGAGGGAGGGCGTAGAAGAGGGGAGATGGGAGGCAGGTCACGTTCGGGGTTTATGTTCAGGAGCTTCTGGAGTCGCGTTTGAGGAGGGTGGGTATGAGGGGTGTTCAGAAAGCAAGTCAAATCAGCTCATTTGCAATTGTGCTAGTGTATCCACCACCCCCTCCACACTCCCCTGTCGCTTCTGGAGTTGTGTTTCGAGGAGGGCGGATATGAGAAGTATTCGGAGAGCGATATGGGTTGCTGGGTTTAGGGGTCGCTGCATCTGTGCCCATACCTAAGCCCACCTCCTCTTCCTCTTTGCAGGCCAGGAGCTGTTGGAGTCGCGCTTTGAGGAGGGTGGGTGGGTATGAGGAGTATTCGGAGAGCGTTAGAGCAAAGTCATATCAGCTCATCTCCACCCATCCTCAACTCTCCACGCCCTCCTGCTCCCCTTTACCCTCCTCTCCCCGCCTTCCCCCTCTCTCTCACAGGCCAGGAGCTTCTGGAGTCTCGTTTCGAGGAGGGTGGGTATGAGGAGTATTCAGAGAGCGAGTACCGATCGCCAGGCTGTCAGGAGCAGTACCATGTGGTGTGGTGAGTGTGGAGCTGTGATTGGTAATGGTGAGTGGGAGATGAGTGTAACGAGTTTCATAGTAATGGGGGGGGAACTCAATGAGGGAGCCAGTGAAAGTGAGTGCAGCAACGCGTGCAGTTAAGTCAAGAAAAGAGCACTCAAACCGATGCTTCAAGTGCGCGTCAAACCATCCACGGGGCAGCGTGCATAATGCATTAGCAGCATGGCAACGTGCATTAGCAGCATGCACGGGGGGCAGGGCAGTCATTGCATGATAGTGGAGGTCGGCAATGGGCTTGGTTTGAATCGACTAAGAAAAGGTCGCCAGTGGGCTCATCATGCGCCGATGCTTCTCCCTTCTCCCTTCATGCGCCTAGTGCATGCATCGCCCCTTCTGCACTGCATGCAACATTCCCCTTGTCTGTTGCTCCTGTTCATCATGCCCCGTACCCCTCATTTCCTGCAGTGAGCAGAGGGATCACAGCACGGGCGGCAGCCACCGCATGATCGTTCAGGGCAATATCGGCAGCGCGCTCATTATGTGCCGCTGCTTCTCCCTTCTCCCCTTTGGCACTGTGTAATTCTCGTAATCTCCTGGTTCCCTTCCTGCAGTGAGCAGAGGGACCACAGCACGGGGGGCAGTCACCGCATGATCGTTCAGGGAGACATTGGCAGTGGACTCATCATGCGTCGCTGCTTCTCCCTCGGCCAACCCATCCCCACCCCCTGGGCTGCTGCCACCACCACTGCTGCTGCCGATGCCAAGTCCCTGACCCTGGGTCAGGAGCAGCAAGTCTCTCTGAGTGACGGGCCCACATCCATGGATGGACCAGCATCCGCCAACGAAACAGTCGGAGCAGCTCCAGCCGATGCAGTTGATCCAGTTGATGCAGCCACGTCAGCACTCCCATCCACGCCCAATCAGCTCCACGTGACGTCAGCGATCATAGCTGCTGCTATTGGCGCTGGCTCTGGCGGGTTTTCACGGTAACTGCTGCGATCGCAGCTCATGCACCCACTAATTCGCTCACCCCACCAACCCATGTCCCTCTCGTACCTGTCTGCATATGCCTCCTTCCTTTCGTGTCATACACTCCTTACCCTCCGCTGCTCCCCGCACGCGCTGCACCTCTGCTTCTCATTTCTTCGTCCAAACCGCACCTCCTTCCCACCCACCATCCCCCCACCCAACTCCCGTATCTCAGCCCCGCCTGTCTGAGGGTCCACCCCTCATTCCGAGTCGTCCACTCCTTCTCCTCCGCAGCTCCCCACGTGTGCTTCACATCCATCAAAGGCACCGAGGAGGTGGTCAAGCCAGACGTGCAGGAGCTCTGGCTGAGAGGCGACGACAGACCCAACGGTGAGTGCCTTTCTTTGACTTGGTACGTTACTAGTAGTCCTTCTCCACCTGCTCGTCCTCCGCTCCGCACGTGTGCTTCACGTCCATCAAAGGAACCGAGGAGGTGGTCAAGCCGGACGTGCAGGAGCTCTGGCTGAGAGGAGACGACAGACCCAACGGTGAGTGCTTTTGGCTGCTTCTTCTTTCTTGAGACCGTTTCTTCCTCTCCCTCTCCTCACCTCGCGTCGCGTCCATCAAGGGAGAGCACGTTGTGGTCACCTTGACTCATATTCAAGGGAGGCGCCTCAAAAGTCATCAAGGGAGAGCACGTTGTGGTCACCTTGACTCATATTCAAGGGAGGCGCCTCAAAAGTCATCAAGGGAGAGCACGTTGTGGTCACCTTGACTCATATTCAAGGGAGGCGCCTCAAAAGTCATCAAGGGAGAGCACGTTGTGGTCACCTTGACTCATATTCAAGGGAGGCGCCTCAAAAGTCATCAAGGGAGAGCACGTTGTGGTCACCTTGACTCATATTCAAGGGAGGCGCCTCAAAAGTCATCAAGGGAGAGCACGTTGTGGTCAAGCCGGATTTGCATGAGCTGTGGCTGAGAGGCGACGACAGACCAAATGGTGCGTAACTGGCCTTGCTTGCCTTACCTTGCCTGCCACCTGCACTAGTGTGTTGAGACAGCGCTTCTCCTTCTCCGCCGCTCCCCACGTGCGCCTCACGTTGATCAAGGGAGAGCACGTGCTCATCAAACCAGACGTGCAGGAGCTCTGGCTGAGAGGCGACGACAGGCCCGACGGTGAGTGCTTGCCTTGCCACCTGCACTGGTGTGTTGTGAACAGCGCTTTTTCTTCTTCTCTGCCGCTCCCCACGTGCGCTTCACATCCATCAAGGGAGAGCACGTGGTGGTGAAGCCGGACGTGCAGGAGCTCTGGCTGAGGGGCGACGCGAGACCCAACGGTGAGTGCATTGCCTTGCCACCTGCACTGGTGTGGTCTGATCAGTGCTTCTTCCTCGTCTCCTCCACTTCTCTGCCGCTCCCCACGTGCGCTTCACGTCCATCAAAGGCACAGAGGTGCTCATCAACCAGACGTGCAGGAGCTCTGGCTGAGAGGCGACGACAGGCCCAATAGTGAGTGCTTTGCCTTGGTACTTTATGGTGGATCTAGGAACAGGCTCACTGTGCTGAACCTGAGTCAACCAAGTCAACCCACGTCATTGTTTTTTTTTTGTTTTACTGCCCACTCTTTTTACCTAAAGAGAAATGGTCTATGGTGGTCCCTGAGTCAACCGTTTCAGCCCGAGTGACAGACTTTTCTTTCTTCTCTTCCCCTCATACCTACAGGAGAATGGTCCTTGGTGGACCCGGGTACAGGCCGCACTGTGGTCAACTGATTCAACGTCGGTCAAACAATGCAGCCTGACTCACAGACTCTCCTTTCTACTCCTTCCTCCACACCTACAGGAAAATGGTCTCTGGTGGATCCGGGCACAGGCCGCACCGTGGTCAACCGATTCAACCCGAGTCAAGTGCAGGCGTGCTTCGTCTACTGGGGCAGTGGTTTCTGCAACCTGGAGCTGGTTTCAGAGGAGAGACCAGTGTCGGTTGAAACGCCTCTCAGGATCGATCACTCGTACAGCATTGAGACAGTGGCGGAGTGATTGAGAATATTCTTGTTGGTCAAGAAAGTCTCCTGGGGCAGTGGGTTCTGCAACCTGGAGCTGGTTTCAGAGGAGAGGCCGGTCTCGGTTGAAACGCTGCTCAGGATTGATCACTCTTATAACATTGAGACAGTGGCCGAGTGATGTGGTCAAGAAAGTCAACCCGAGTCAAATCTGCAATCTGGAGCTGGTTCCAGAGGAAAGGCCGGTCTCGGTTGAAACGCCGCTCAGGATGGATCATTCGTACAGCATTGAGACAGTGGCTGAGTTATTGAGAAATTATAAATTTTAAACACACATTGTGTTTTTAAAATTGTGTATTGTGAAAGCGAAGCTGCTTGTACTGCACATTTGGCATCGTCGAAGCGCGCTAAACGCCCTTCTCCAACTACAAAAACCGTGGGTTGGAGCTCATTTCCCTCCACCCACGTTTCTCTATTTCCAACGGCTCACTCAACTTTCCCGCTCGAGTAGTTTTTTCCTCCGTCCAAACTGGCTAGAACCAAAACGCTTCCTCGAGGCGTTTCACCCTCGACTTTACTCAGCGATATTTTTAGCTTCAATCGCTCAACGATGGCACCTACGCCGGCACTTAACAACGACGACTCGGCCAACCCCGCTTCCGACTCCGACCGTAACGCCCGCGATTTTGCGGGCGATCGACGTAACAAGCGTCGGGCAGAAGATGGACCTTCCGCCCCGACTGGAGTGGACGTGCTGCTGGGCGGGCTCGATGCCCAGCACCCTTCGGCGAATGTGGCGCCAGTGGCGCCTGTGGCACCAGTGGCGCCAGTGGCGCCAGTGGCAACGGCGGCTGGCGCGACACACGCGACTGACGCGGGGCACACGCCAGCACCCGCGGCTGGACCGTCGCGTCAGCGCCAGAGGCGACGACCGGCGGTCTCCTCGTCTGACGCGACGGCGACCCCTACGCTGACGCAGGCGTTGACCCCGGACCAGGTCAACGCGCTGCTGTCCCTTCTACAGCAGCAGCCCATCAGCGTTACAGCCGCGGAAACTGCACTACCTGCTGCATCTGCGTCTGCTAAAAACGAAACTGCAAAAAAGGAAAAAGGAGTGCGAGAAGCAAGGACGAATCGGCGCAACAACGACGCAGCGACCGGCGTTCCCCCTGCTCCAGCGGTCGACAACGACACCGACGACTCCGAAGATGACGCCGGTGAGGCTCCAGTCGACAATACTAATTTTATTGGCACGGAAAATCTCCCCCCCCTCCCTTCTTCTAACCTCACTTTTTCGGCGACGACATTCGTCAACGACTCCGTGCGAGAGCAAGCGGAGCTGCTGGAGGACTTGCGCGCGTACCTGCTGCACGCGGAATACAAGGCGCAGCGCGGCGACTCGGCAGGCGGACTCGAACTCATCTCACACGCCCTCAACCTCATCGCGGGGCGTTTCGAGGTGCTTCAAGTGGAGGACGCCTCCGACTTCCGCACGGCGAAGCGCTTCAAGCTGTACCAGCAGAAGAGCCTGCTGACCTCTCGACCCTTCAAGCAGGCGGTCGCGGACATGGCTGCGATGGACTGCGCCGCAAGCGCATACACTCGCGTCAACCGCGGCGGAAGCAACGCGCCGATGCCGTTCATTCCCAAGCGGGGTCCCCCACCCACGGCCAATTGTCGTGGGTTTCGGGGCTCGTGCTTCCGCTGCGGCCAGCCGGGCCATGTGGCAAGTGCCTGCCCTAGGAACGGGCATGGTGGCCAAGGTCCCGCTCCGGTAGTGTAGGAGCGGACCATGGGAAATGCGCTCGGAGCGCAAGGCACGGTGCACTCTAGAGTGCGGAAACCGTGGGCAGCCCTAGGGGTTTGCGATGGCAAGAGGTCAGCCCTAGACAAGGGTAGAGTAGGCCTTGGGCCTAGGTTAGGGAAGGGGAACATCAACCCCTCGGTCCCATGTATTGGCCACTAGGTGGCGTATGCATGCTAGGAAAGCATTGCTATGTGTGTCGGGTCGATTTAATAAAACATTATTCCTTAAGGCCCTCTGATTTTGGCAAGTGACACTCTAAGAAACAAAGAAGTGGTGCAGAGCAAGAGAGAAAGAGAATCAGAGAGAAAGAAAGAGAGAGAGAGAGAGAGAGAGAGAGAGAGAGAGAGAGAGAGAGAGAGAGAGAGAGAGAGAGAGAGAGAGAGAGAGAGAGGGCATGGACAGCCGCATCCAATCGTGTGTGGACCGTGGGGCGAGCCGGTCGGTGCTCGGCACACTCGTTGACATAGCAATTCATTATCAATTCTGTCCACACCGTTTACAAGTGATCTCAAGCACGTGCACACATGCAACACACGTATTTTTAAATAAAAAGTGCAACCCTTGTCCCATGCCACGAACACACAGGAGCGTGGCAATACGAGGCGGCATGCGGCGACGACCCATACGAATTTGCCATAACGGACAAAACCGTTACACATATGCGCGGCCGGCTTCGCGCGACCTTTGCATGGTGGAGCTCATGGTGCTCGAGTAGCCTTGTCCTCTCCGTCATAGCCAAAGGCTATTGGTTGCCATGGAGCCACGGCCCACCGCAACCCTTCCACGATCGCAACCATGTCGGGGCGAACACGCATGCCACATTCACACGTACTGCCGTACAAGAACTCACAAGAGACCGGAGCGGCAGTTCCGATGGCCGCAAAGGAGCTTACTTGCATAAGTCCGCTCAACGTGGTCGAGCAAAAAGACAAATGCAGGCTCATTCTTGATCTGAGGAAAGTCAACGCCCACTTAATTGTCCCCAAGTTCAAGTACGAGGGACTTAACCGGGTGGCCGACCTGGCACGCGCTGGGGACTGGATGTTCTCCATCGACCTCAAATCCGGCTATCACCACATCGACATCCACCCCTCGTGGAAGTTCCTTGGATTCGAATTTGGTGGACACACATACGCATTTCGATGCCTGCCATTCGGACTCGCCACAGCTCCATTCGTCTTCACGCAACTCATCAAGCAACTTGCTCGGCGTTGGCGAGAACAGGGCATCCGAGTAGTGCCATACGTGGATGACATTTTATTTCTCTGCCAGTCAAAGGCCCATGCGCAAGCTACCTGTCAGCGCGTAATATTGGACCTCAAAGCAGCGGGGCTGGTGATAAACGCGAAGAAATCGCAGCTCTCACCATCGCAGCACCTTCGATTTTTGGGTGTAGAGTTGGACACCGACACCGGCCGATTCTCCATCGGTCCCGACCGACGAGTCGCGCTACATGCAACCATCCAGAACCTCCTAAGTGCAAGCAAGGCAAGCACACCAGTCCCCGTCCGTCATGTGGCCAGAGTCACAGGCATGCTCGCCTCAATGAGTGTCGCACTAGGCGCGACAGCTCGCGCATTCAGCCACGCCATGTTACAAGTGATCAACGACGCGCCGTCATGGAAAAGCAGTGTGATCGTCTCCCCATCTGTAGCTGAGGAGCTCAACTTCTGGCGCGAAGAGTTTGATCGGTTTAACGGTGCACCATTCCACGTCCGAAACAGTTACGACGCTGTAATCCATGTGGACGCCAGCTCTCACGGTTGGGGCGCCACCCTGACCACGTTCCCGGGCGGCCTCGAAGAAGCTAGTGCAACCATGCCAGAGCCGCTACGAGCAACGTCCAGCACGAGACGGGAGATTGAAGGCGTCTTTTGGGCAATCCAAACGTATGCCAACAAGATCCAGAAAAAACACGTTCTCGTGCGGGTGGACAACCAAGGTGTATTCTTCATCCTTCGCAAAGGCGGCTCTCGCAGCCCCGACCTCACCATGGCCTGCAAGGGCATCATACGAACATGCATGGAGCTCGGCACGCGCTTAATCATCGAATGGATTCCCCGCGAACTCAACTCAGACGCTGACGAGCTTTCCAAAATAGTCGATCACGACGACTACTCGTTGAAGACGCCATGGTTCCGCATCTTGGAACGTCGTTGGGGTCCCCATTCCATCGACCTTTTTGCAAACTCCCGCAACACCCAGCTATTGCGCTTCTGCACAAAGATCCCTCACCCAGACGCCTTCGCAATTGATGCATTTTCGCTCGCATGGACAGGCGAAAATGGTTTCGCGTTCCCCCCGCCCCAATTGGTCCCCGCCGTCCTCCACCACGCATAACGCACCCACGCATCACTCACACTGATAGTTCCGCACTGGCCGGGCACAAGCTGGTGGCCACTACTACAACCCTCCCCATGCACGTGGGCGTCACACATCCATGCACACATCCCTCTGACACACGGAAGCCAATGCTTAGCTGCAGGGACACATTCCACTGCCTTCTCAGGCTCAGGATTACCGCACAGCCCAATCATAGCACTCCGAGTGGTATTTGACTAATTCATAACTTCTCCGCCTTGTGTTCAGAATTGCTCCCAAAGCTACACGACCAGCTGATTAACATGATCGCACAGTCTCGTGCAAACTCGACGATCCGGACATACGAACCATACTGGACTAAGTTTCGAGCCTTTTGTACAAAGGTGAACCTTGCATTTCTCCCCGCATCCGACATGACCCTCGCGCTATACCTGGTCCACGCAATCCAACGTAAAGCTACCATGTCCGTAGTACAGCTCACGTGCTCAGCAGTCAGCTTCGCCCATCGCATGACTGGGAGCACATGCCCGACGGATGGGCCATTCACCACACAAGTCCACGACTTTGCGAAACGCCATTGCCCTCGCCCTACTCGTCTGAAGGAGCCCGTATCGATCCAACAAGTTCGAGACATGGCGGCGAGCTACCTGCTGTCTGACAATCCGGCGGAATTCCAGAAAGGGCTGATCCCTATCCTCATGTACTCGGGATTTCTGCGATACTCCGACCTCGTGGCTATCAAATGGCAAGACATCCAATTCGACGACGATGTCATGTGGATCCTCATACCACACTCCAAGACGGATCAGGCCGGTCACGGAACATGGATACCCATTGCGGCAACGGCGGACCCTTGCTGCCCCGTGCGCTGCACCAGACGCTTCATTCAACTTGCTGGCTACGGCCCG